AGAACCGCTGTAATGCCTTACATTCACGCAGTGTCTCATAACTTAAAAAAGGTGGCGGAACGTTACGACGTTCCTGTCGTTTTTTCAGCCCCTAAAAAGCTTTCTGCGTTATGCAGGAAAATCAATGATCCCGAAGGGAAGAGTGACGAGTGTAAGAAAAAACACCAGAATAAGTTTGTAGAATGTCACACTGGTGTTGTGTATGACATTCCGCTTTCTTGCGGTAGGTCTTACGTAGGCCAAACTGGGCGTTGTGTGAATGATCGCGCAAGAGAGCATGCTGCTTCCTTAAAACAGTCACCTTCGGGGCACCTGGCTGTGCATTGCAACCGATGTGAGTGCACACCAGTTTTGAATGACGTGGCAATCCTGGGGCGATACAGCAAAAAGATTACAAGGGAAATTCATGAGGCGTATGCAATAAGGAAGGGTGCAGATAAGTGCATAAGCGAGCCTTCAGTGACTCTGTCAGAAAAAGAGTGTCTATTCTTGGATAAAGAGTGGGCACGTGGAAAGTGACGTGGGTGTTTTTTAAAAGTGTATATAAGACTATGTTTTTCCATAATTAAATCTTCAGTTGCGAGTGCGCCTTGTGTCGTCGTCTTCTTACCTTGTCCTGGTCTTTCGGCGCTTGTCTTTTTCCATTTTAGTTCCGCCTTTGCAGAGGACGGAAGCTCGACGGAAGTCTTCGCTTTTGTTATCTTGAGGCGCGCGCAAACAATGTAAAAAATAAAGAATAAAACTGCCTTGTCTACCTGCTTTCACGACGTTCAATTTTGTTCTGCTGACTCCCGTTTTGGGTTGTCTCTACCTATCGAGGAAGCCACCTACTAAAACTCCCTAATGATAGAACAACACAACCACACACGCATGCACATTAATATATATTCAACGTTTGATAGATTCTTACAACTGTCCGTAGTGTAGCGCGCAACAACACAGCGCTTGTAGTTGGTAATAACGTAATCTCACAAGGGTAGGCCGGCGGCGCTGCCGATTTTAGCCGTCCCAGTGTTGCCTCATGTGGCCACGGTGGCGCTGATGATCAACCGACGGTGGCGCTCTTTGGAACCTTACCCAACCGTTTCGCCGGGAGTTTCTTTCGCGTTTCTCTGGGGTTACTACAGCGGTTACAGACGCCGCCGGCTCCACTCCATGGGACAGTTAATGCTTTCACATTCAAACTTTTAACTGTGTCCGAGACAATGCGGTGCACGTCCTTTTTGCTTCCGTGTCTCCGGATTTATTATGTTGCCTAATATTAACCAGCTCGCCGGCGCCCTCAACCTTCCTACATGTGATGGGAATCAGGAATGTTACTAGAGCCAAGAAGGTGACTGGAATCAAGAACGTCATTGGAATCGGAAATAGGATTGGAATCAGAAATGTTATTTAAATCAGGAGTGTGATTGGAATCAAGAATGTGACTAGAATAAAGAATATAATTGAAATCAGGAATAAGATTGGTTTCAGAAATGTTGTTACAATCAAGAATATGACTGGAAACAAGAATGTAATTGGAATGAGGAATGGAATCAGAATCAGGAATGGGATTCATGAGAAATGTTATTGGAACCAAGAGTGTGATTGGAATCAGGAAAAAGGTGTGGGGGGGGGGGGGGGGGGGGGGGGGTGAATAAGGTATGGTGTTAAATATGAAGAAAATCTCTTTCTTAATTAAGGTTTTTTTTTTTTTTTTTTTTCAGAAAAGTTGGTCTTTCTATAGTTGCGTCGGCATTGTTTTTTTTTATCTTTCTATGTTGGCGTCGGCGTTTTGGAGGGAGCATTCGCGGGGGCATAGCGATGGATGGGTGAATCCGGCTGAGCCCTTTGGATCGGGCCGTAGCTCACGCCACCTAGCCATTTTGTTTTACCATTTAAGCTTAGAATATATTTAGGCTTAGAAGCGGCCACGAGGTGGGAGCGCTTTCCCCGCGGTCGTTTCGGGAAGCTGCACGGACAGATTCCCGGGAGAGCCCGCGCTTGAAGCTGCTTGTGGCTTTTAACCGAGTGTGCCTGTGTATAGTGGGTTTCGCCGCTCAGTGTCAAATTGTCGCTTTCTGTCCGGTGTAATAATTTAGCTGTTGGCACCAGCCAGACTGGGAAAAATGCAGGCAATGACTCTAGAAGGAATCTGGTATTGGCCGTTGGAGTGCCAGGCTGGCAGCTCGCCGACCGTTGGGTGACAGTGTACCACGTGGGAGTGGTGGAATTTGAAGTGTTTGGTCGGTCCCTGAAAGGAAAGGAGGCCCCTACGAGTCTATTGGATTCGATTCAATTTTGGGAGAATGGGGGACATAAGTATGGGGCTTTAGTTTTGGGATTTTAACTCACTGTTGAGTTCATACTGCTTTGTTTCGTAATAAATGTGGCCACACTGGCCACTGTAAAGTCAACCAACGTGGTAATGTTTTCAGCGGGACCGAACTTTTAAATTTTTTTTTTATTCGACTTCCCGGGGATTCTGTCGGTCGTCATCATCCTGACCGTCCCCCTCCCTCGGAAAGTTCACTTATGGAATTGGAATCAAGGATGTGATTGAAAATGGGAATATAATCAGACTCAAGAATGTTATTAGAATCAATATGATTGGAATCAGGAAGCGAAGAATGTGAGTGGAATCAATCGCGAATGTTATTGGAATCAAGAATGATGATTGAAATCAAAAATGGGATTAGTATCAGAAAAGCCATTGGAATAAAACTGTGAGACTAGTGGGAATCAGAAATTTTATTAGAATCAGGAGTGGGATCGGAATTAGGAATGCTACTGGAATACAGAATGATGAAATCGGAAATAGGACCAGAATCCGGAATGTTATTGGAATTAAGAATATCAATGGAATCAGGAATGGGATTGAGAACCAAAAATGTAGTTGGAATCAAGAATATAGTTTGGAATCAGGAATGAAATTGGAATCAGGAAGGAGATAGGAATCAGGAATGTTATTACAATCAAGAATATGAGTGGAATAAGGAGTGCGATTGTTATTCGAATCTAGAATGTCTTAAATCATGAATGTTATTGGAATGAAGATTGTGATTGGAATCAGGAATAGAATAGAAATCAGGATTGTTTTGGAATTAGGGATGGGACGGAAATCAGGAATGGGATTGAAATTGGTGGAGCGTGGCAAGGTTTTCCATAACCCGCTTAGCAGAAGACATTGTGCACCCCACTGAAAAACTCCAATCCACCTACTATTGGACTTGGAACAACAATAAATAATCAGTTTAGGCAATCGGAGGGGTGAGCGGTATTGATACCAAACTGATTATGCGGTACCACAGAGTGGTAAAAAGGTGTGTACACCCCTTTGCTACTGATTCTGCATAGCCATTAGGAGATAGCACTGATAGGGCATCTCATTGGATTAAATTTATTAAAGGGAGACCAATTATTAGTGCATCGAGTGCATCACAGAGTATTATGCATTCAGGAACCTCTGAGAGTGCGAACCAGTGTAAAATTGAGCTTCATTAGCTCACAGCCTGGGAACTTAGAATTCCCATTTTAGATATCGATATGAACTCTAGGAGCATGTGAGGCCATCTTGAATATCAAATAAAATAAGCTTATTATGTCAAGAAAGAACAAGGGGGGGGGGGGGGGGGACCGGCAAGTCCCCCCCCCCCCCTGTGACATCATAAAACAGTACTGTTTCCAATCCCATTCCTGATTCCAGTCATATTCTTGATTCCAATCTCATTCGTAATTCCAATCACCTATGAAAGCAATATCAAGGTCAAATGCTACTTTCCTTCAAAACCTCTGAATGGCATAGGCGGAAAGTCATGCTTCAACTTCAAAATCTGCAACACAACATGCAAATGGAATTGTTCAGAATTTGTTGTTTCGCCCCCCCCCCTCCCCCTCCCCTCTCCCCCCCCCCCCCCCCCTTGATGTGATTTTCTTCTCTCTCAAATGCCTTCCCATTTATTCTTGTTTTATTTTGCATTAAACAGCAGGAAACATTCCATACAGCAATGGGAATAGGAAAGATGAAATGAATCCCATCCATTGCGCTGATTGAGCAAGTGCAAAAAGCACCAGAAAAGTGTAACTAAGAGCACTTTTGACGTTGCTTGAAGGAAGCAACACCGACGAACAAAGCTGAGCTTATATTTCCTAAATTCAAATCAGGCAGCTGAAAACTGCAAGCATAAGTCATCAATACATTGGGAAATGCAATACCACTGACTATTTCCTCAATTATATGTTTAGTTCAGTGAATTCTACAGTAAATATGAACTGTGATATTATAGAAAAGCTCAGCTACGTTCCTGGGGAACATCCGAGACTATCTGTAATGAAACTGGGGGCATTTGGCTATACTCCGTTTCACCTTATGAGGGACCGCAGAGGGCATCACGAGTTATTTAAGCCAATCCAATACCGACATGAGCGTTGCGTAGCTTTCAGGAGGGGCGGAGCAACACGCAGGGACACATACCCAGATGACGGTTTCACAGTGCTGAGCTGGCTAGGATGGCTTGTAGCATCCACTGTGTTCCATTGCAAGGTGAAACGGAGTATAGACCTTTTTTACAAAGGTGCCGCCATCTCGAAATATTAGACTTCCAGAATGGGCGAAAACATTGTTTTGCCGTCGCCACGCCAATAGAAAACATTTAGGATCTAAGCATAACCGTCACTCATTCTCGTTTTGTCTCTTTTTTACTATTTGCAGGTTGAAATGTTTTATTTTTTTTTTGTCGCCCATACTGGATATGCCTACCAGGTGGCTGGGGACGAGAGTAAGCGAAAAAGGTCTATAGCTGTCTACCAAAGACAGCCTGTCTTTTGCAGCTCTGATGGCCACGGCTCTGATGACCATGGGTCTGTTCGCTCCAATAATTTTGTCGAACTATCTCGCGCTGAGGCTTCCAAACACGAATACCAAAGAGTCTCTTCAGAAAAGACGCTACATAACGCCACCGTCGAGTTTGTATGGAACAAACGAAGGAATTGACGGCTCAAATCGAAGAACCTCATCTCACCTGTAGCTCGCTTCGGCCCACTTGCCATACCGCTCCACGGGCCAGTTTTCCCGAAACGAACTCCACCAGACGTTCTGCCTTGTCGTGGGCACGTGGTCCCTGATGGCCTCCAAGTTGGCCACCGTGTCGTCGTCCGTCTTGTACAAGAAGTCAAACTCCACTGACCTCTCCAAGATGGCGCCGAAGAATGCGAGCAACTTCGCCGCAAGACTCCTGTACACGTCCACCACAGGAACCAGCGCGACGTCCCCATATCTGCAGTGGAGAGCTAAGATTTGACAGAGGGAGCGACTCGAGCTGTGGTGCCTGAATCGTATTGTTTGACTGGTGTGCTTACTACCCTCTCCTGCCGAAGCATTAAAAGTGGCTCCGAAATGACGCCAAATTGCGTGGCAGGAGCTGGCGTCAAGCAGTTGGATATCGTGATCCTGGCGGTCGGTCGTAAAAATGCTGGCAAAAAAGGCGAGCAGACGCAAGAGTCGTCGTCGTCAAAACACCCCAACTCACATCTGTTTTGGTGTCTGTCAAATGTCTGGCCAGAGAGACGACTTTTGGGGTCACGGTAAACACACCAGTCGGAGATGCGCCATATGCACCATACTCAAACCGTGGAGGCTCTTTGCAATTTAATGGCAGGCAGCCGCTGTGCAGATTGGGTGCATGTGCACATGCATGCATTGTTGAGGAGAGAAGGAGCAAGGCAGAGACGGTTGCAGACGATAGACACTTCTGTCTCCTCCTTGCAGCTTGTATTGCAAACATGGCCCGTAAACCACGTGACCTTAATCGAGCACTTGGGGAGAAACACTCTCAACACTAGGCCCACTAACCTGCGGGCCTCGGCCTCGAGCCTCATTTGCTCGTCGTCGACGCGCTCGTCCCAGGCGGCTTGCCGCATCTCCGCATCGTCCACGTGATCCAAAAGGCTGGGCAGCGCGTCCGAGATCACGAAGCGGACTCCAACCCCCGACACGGCCTCCGGGAACCACCCGACGCTGCGCGACTCCTCGTGATCCACGTACAGCCGCTTGTACGACAACAGGTTCGAGAGATTGTTCCAGGCCAGCGTACTCGAGCAGGTCTCCGAGATGATTTCCCCGGATAAATTTATGATACCTTCGAAGTACCGGTGTAGAACGACCCTATCCACGTTGCGGTAATAGTAGCCGTCCTCCTCCTTTCCGTTCTCCGAACTGATCACGGTCTTGCGGACGATTTCCCTGGTGACTGCGTTGATGAGGGCGACCGTGACACCTGTGGTTCCGCTAAGGATGTCGGCTAGGACCCCCAACCTCGAGATCAAGATCGTGTGGCGGACTTGAAAGCTGAAGCCCGTGTACAAAGTTCGCCTACGGGGAAAACAGTCGCGGGTTTTGGCCGTTGTAGCGTAAAACTCGAGGTTTTCGGTGATCGCGGTGACGTTGGGTTCCCAGCGGGCGCAGACGTAAGGGTCGACTCGATCTTCGGGCGGTACGCGGCAGGGTTGCTGGCCGACGACGAAGAAAGACTTGACACGAGGCGTACCGCTGAGCCAGGTCTCCCGGGCGACGGCGCGCCGTTCGAAGTTGCCGCGTGCAGAGAGGACGCCGACCAGGAGGATGGTGCGACGGGTGAAGTAGTAGTAGAGGCCTGCTTGCACGACGATCGCGACTAACACGCAAGCCACTGTACGCGAGTTGATCGAGGTCGGCATTTCATGGGCTTGTAGGGCATAATTAGCGGGGTTTGTATTGATTTAAGTTGGTGCACATCGGACTGCAGTTCAAGAGCTTGCAGAGCATTACGCCACGCACTAACGCGGATGTAGTACCAAGTTCTTTTCGCACAATTGGTTCCCAGGGGTTGGCCAGCGACCGCTATTTACAAGGCTGGCGCCATTGCTCGAATCATGGTGTTGGGGTCCCGCAGAAAGTAAAATCGAGTATTACAATATTTATAATACTAAAAGGTCAGTTAAATAAATATTTTAAATTATGTTATATTTGATTACACGCCATATATTTTAAATATTTAATAATCTTTTTAACGTCTAACTCTTAGTACTGCAGCAGACCATCATGGCGGCTCTCAAAATATGTCTGCTACCTGGATTCCCGAGTAAGTTTTTTCGCGATAATTCTGCGCGTTAGTAATAAAATACACTAATCCCATGCCACGTAAATCCAGCTTCAATCTACGATTGTAACGTTGTTTGCTTCACGTGCATCCTATTTTTTCTTAGCTTCGTCGTGGCAAGGACAACCGTCGGCACTTGAGGTGTCCTGTTTTGTTTTTTTCCCCCCATAGAATCAACCTCTCTAGGACCACGCTCTGCAAATTATAGTGATCATAATTAAACGAAAAATAAAATATAAAGCTTTTCAAGGTTGGCGTCATACGGTCCCACAACACGCCGACTTTGCACAGACGATTTCTGTCGCAGGTAGTTCTATTTCGGCACCAGTTTGAAACGACCTTTCTAGAGGACATCGCCACACGACGGAACTTACAAGCGCGGTACAACAGAAGATGTTTAATGAAATAGAAGTAACAGTTGTATTGGTCCAACGCTCGAGTTGTGTCCGAGAGACCGTGCTACAGGGCAGTTATTCGACGAGACTGCACCCGGACGAGCTGCAACGACGCGGCATAGGAAAGAACGAACTCTCTTAGACCACAAGCCTCAGAATTTTGAGAAACAAAAACCTGACTCCGTTCTGCAGCTTCGAACTGGAAGATTACTATACTTGGGTGCAACGTTCTGTGGCAATGCAGCCAAAGCTATGGGTGCACGTGCTCTGGCACACCTTGAGCGTCGACAAAAGCTGTGCATGCGGGCTCTTCAACTGGATGACGGGTCTCGATTTTTAGTTTCTCTCACTAGCAGTAGCGGAAGTCTAAAGCGTCTATGACCGCTTTACATGCCTGAGAACACGTTATTAATTCTCCCGATCCCGAAATTATGCCACTGTTACTCTAGTCTGTTGCAAGTTAAGAATAGCAAGGCAGGCTTCTCCCATAAAGCCCTCCACTCATTCCGCTTCAATAGAGCGAACGCTGGAAAGGAGGAAACCACCAATCATGCACGTGAAAAGCCCCGTGGGAGGGGCTTGTCCTGATATTCTAAACGTGCAAGAGACATACATACATTGAAGTTGAACGCGGGAACCCCTGTCGACGAGCAATTGCGGTTCTTGAATGCCATGACGTTAACTGAACATTTGCTGTTGCTCAAACTGGTACCTTGTTACCAACAGGTGATGCCACATACTGAGCTCTACTTCAGAATCATTTTAGTTCCCCGTGAATGTCAACAGCTTGCTGGTATCAAAACATAGGTATTCTTGCTTAATTTTCGTTAAGCTGACGACGGGGCTTTTACTTGTCTTCAGCCGAGAGGTGGCAACGTGCAGCACTCATTAGAATATTGGGCTGTCAAAACTCTGCAAGTCTGCCTTTCTACAGAATGCACTGAGAATGGGCCGTCGTAACCGTACAGATAATGTAACAATCTAGAAGGGGAGGTTCGACGCGTTTGGGGCGGCGCATAGATGCGGACATCGCTGGTCCCAATTGGCAGTTCCGATGGGCCAATATCGCTGGCAGCGCCTTGCACCTTTTTCTCTCTTTGATTGGGCCTGTTGACTGGTAGCATTGACCGCACTGCGACATAAAAAAACAAAACAAAAAAACTTCTTTAAAGTGCGTAGACATATGTCACAAAACAAACTTTCCCCCAAAAAAAATATATTGATTAAACTTGAAGCCTGAAGTCCCGTTTTGAGTTAGCAGTGATATTCTGAGACGGGTGCCCATTTCAAGGAAAGGTTTGAGCGTCTGTTGGAGTCTGAACCCGTTTCAAAGGAAAGCCACTTGGGGCCCACGCAGGGGCGGGCAGGGCCGCTGCAGCCTCCGCCCTGCCAGCCACCGACGGGGCGAGGCGGCAGTGCTCTGGGACCGTCTCCAAGCCCCCCGTCGGGGGCAGCGGTGCCAAGTTGCCCAGCCTGCGGAAAGGAACGGGAGGGCGGAGCTCCTTCAATGGCGTCGTCTGCACCGTCTTTGGGTCCAACGGCAGCCTGGGCACGTCCCTCATCAACAGGCTCGGTGAGACTGAAGCCGCTGTACGGGGCGCTTTCACCGGGGTGTCCGGAACGCGTCTTCGACCGGTGCGTTTAGTGTCCCGTCCTTCCCGGTCATCAAATGCAGCCCCAAACTGGCGGCAAATGATGTCCCAAAAGCCAGAGTCTAGTCCCGTCAAATGTCGCGATCCCGGCAATTGTTGATAGAAGTCCCGGCAAAAAAAAAAGAGCAAACGCAAGTGTCGCTGTCATCGCGGAGTCTAATCTCTTGGCTGCTGAAGCTGCTGTGGAACATCGAGCTTCAGCATGGAGGAAGGAAGCTTCCAAAGGCGACGCGAGGCCAGCAGAGATGATGCCAGAAAAATGGAGGGGCACGCCCCCAACGATGACCAAAACCGAGAGTTGTTATTGGATGAAAGGGAGAACCGACTGAACAGCTGTTGACTCGGCTCTCCTTTTCGTCTGTTAGCGTCTCATGGTTTTGGTTGTCCTTGGGGGCGTGTCCCTCCAGACTTCTGGCTTCGCCTCTGGTGGCCTCGTGTCACCTCTGGCAGAAGATGCTTCTGCCACCTCCACCACCGCTGCTGCGACACTGCCAGAATCGCAGCAGGCGACGGCGTGACACTTCTGTGAGGTCGTTGGGCGGAAATCGAGGGACCATGCTTTACGACACGGTGAAGGCAACGGTCGAAGAGACGTTCTAGGAACCGTGATTTCGCTTGGCATATTTCTGACTTGAAATCTCGTTGAACGTCACATTGGTTAACTTTTGCAACATGTCTTGCTATGCGCGGAGGCAGCGTTTTCGTGATTGCTCGAGTTTTTTCGTGTCGAGATCGACTGCACCAGCTAGAGTGGCAACGACACTTCATCCATCTTGTTGCTCGAAATTATTGTTGCCATTTATCTGAAAGGGGCACTAAACCACTCTCTGCGATAGTCTTTTTATGGTCATAACTCGATCTATGGGTTTTAAGCATCCTAAAAAGACGAACATTACGTTCATGCATGGTCGATTTCTCTATTAAAATTGATATCAAAGATTGATTACCTTGAACTATCGCAGACACCAGGGGGCGCTACTGGACAAAGAGAAGGGCTTTTCCTCGTCCAACAGTGCCCTCTGGCATTTGCGATAGTTCCGATGCATCATCGTCGTCTGCATGCCTAGAGCCGCTTTAAGAAGGCGCTCGCGTTATAAAAAGAATGCACTATCAAACTGGCACACATAACGTTGAAAGGTTGAAGAACATTCCTGTTCATCAGACTTCAGTCCAAGATCTACATTTCGTGAAAAGAGAGTAAAACATATGTTTCGCCAAATACTCGACACTCCGCAAGGCTGCTTTCTCCACAAGCGTTTTGGGTAAATTTCGTGCACGTGACCCCTTCTCCGCCAGGGGCGGAGGCAGGTATTTCTAGATAAGGGGGTCAGGTGTTGGATCTGCGTATCATATGTTTAAGCCCCCCACCCGTTTCCACGCCCTTAATTTTTACACATTCAGAAATCAAGAGGAGGGTCAGGACATCCGGACCCCTCCTCTGAATCTGCTCCTATTCTCCGCCAACGAAGAGATGACAGTGAAGGGAACAGAAATGTGGTACGATGGCTCCTCCAGAGACATCTGTGGACAGGAACGGCCTGCTTGAATTCGTTGTCTGCACTGATGACATCGGCTCATTCTGCAAATTGTTAACATAGCATTTTTTGTAAACCCCCTCTTATCTGTAAAACCCTGACTCCTGGGTTATTGAAAGGACACTGACACCCCCCCCCCCCCCCCCCAAAAACTTTTTTTTTTCATTTTTTGCCAGGCAATTTATTATAGTGTCAGAATACTACCCAATTAATATTTTGCTCCAGAGTGACGTATATTTTTAATAAAGCCAAAAAACACAACTGCTTGAAATCAAAACCAAAACCCCTGCATCGCACAGTGGAGAGGAGAGAGTGAGTGGCGGAAGTCACGTAACTGCAACCGACCATGCAATTTTTTAAAATTTTTTTCTTACGTGCGCAGCAGACAAAATATGTTGCGGGATCTGTTCGCTGTGCGATTCCTTTGCAGTTATGTTTGTTCCGCTCGCTGTTCTGTACTTCAAGATGAGTTGTTTTGTACATTTAAGTGTTGGCGATTACTAGTGAGCAGAGGTCGGCATTTTAGGTCGCCCTCACTCACCCTCACCCTCACAGCAACACTCACCTAAGCCCCTCACTCACCCTCACCCTCACGGCTACACTCACCTTCAGCCCCCCACTCACCCTCATCCTCACAGTCACACTCACCTTTATTACGATGATGTCACGGTGTTAATCTCTGATTGGAAGATATAGTGGGTACGCAAACGTAGCATCATCTGCTTGTTGAAGCGGTGGCTACCTTGCTTTTATGAGAGCTGTAGAAAAATCCACTGGTTCTTTACAATCAAGAAATCAGCCCTTGAGGAAGGTCTAATCCAGAAACGAGTAAATCTGTCGAGTGACTCTTCTTTATCTCTCTGGCCAATCAGGGAAGATCGGCACTCAGCTGATCCTGCCGTACAGATGCGAGTTCTACTTCATGCAAAGGCTCAAGCTCTGTGGAGACCTGGGACAGATCCACTTTCAGGTGTGTCTGCGCTTTTATTTCCTGGTATGGTGCATACGGAAAGAGGGCATTGCTGCTAATTGAGGCGGTAGCTTTAAGATGTCCGAAGGCAGATGTGACATTCTTAGAATAACTCTTTTGTACAAGTTGTAGATGCTGAAATCATTTCATCCATCTGAGCTGCCTTGACAGTGGCAAACAGCTTTAAATTGTTTTGACTATTTTAGTGATGCTACTATTCAGTGGCACGACAGAAAGGAAGTTTTGGAGCCTCTTCCCCCCAAATGGTCTGGCATCCTCTCTCTTCACACCAACTTCATAGCCCCCTCCCCAACAACAAAATGTCCAGCTTTGCCACTGGTGCTAATATAATTCTTTTATACTTTATCTAGAGAAGGCACATTTGCTTTGTTCCCATATACAAAATGTTTCACTGAACGTTGGCCAATATTTTTGTGTAGGAACCCTGCATCTCAGAGAAATAGCATTCGTTCCATACCGATAGTTACTGTAAAGGGACCTACTTTTTAAGACACGTGGCATTTAGGATAACCTGGTGTGTGTTTGTCTCGGAAAATGCATTTTTAATTACCAGTTAGCAACTTTCTGGGCATCATGGGAACCTACTGAATTCGAGCATCCGCCTATTTCGCAATAAGTGCCCACCTCTCAATTCGAAAATGCGACAAAATTCGTTGCACTTTTGAGGATTTCCTTTTTCTAATTATCTGCCTTTTTGCTCTACTAGTAACTTTTTGTGCATTGCCACACTTTCCATGTGCTCCAACTCTTTCCAAAATTTACCAATTTAGTGGTTTTCCATGCCATTCTGCAAGCTTGTAATTAGAACTGTGCATTTTTTTTTTACTATAAAAAATTTAATTATGCAAAACTCAAATAATTGAGTCCCTACTCAATTATCCAAGACCTCACTAAATTGGCCCCTTGGCAGTAGCTTGATATGGTACTAATTGATTTTCCTTGTGATGTATAAATGTATGGGCATAACATGCTTGAAGTAAACTACTATAAATACAATGTACTTTCAAAGTAAAGTACAAGTACTTTTTAACAATCTTTCTCGATCCCCTTTCATTTCCCTATAGAGTGTTTTTTTCTTTTTTTAACTCGTATGCATTGCCCCAGGGTAATCGGGGGGGGGGGAAGTGGGGGGCATCAGTTATTTTAAGAAATTACAGCAAATATTGGATAATGTCAAGTGGCCACAGCGTAGTAGTTTTACTCCCGCTGACAAGCTATTGAATAAAATAAACTTATAAGGCACTTAAATGTATCGGTCTTATAGCCGTCATTACTTCACTTGAAGAAATGATCAGATGACGTCTTGAAAAACGATACCGCGCTTTCACACGACAATACACCCTTTTTTCGTTAGAGGTTGGTGAACTCTTGTACTTGACCTCGGAAGTTGTGTACAGTACTGGGATAGCCAAGGTTCGAGCCCAAGGTCCTTGAAAGAGCTTAATTTCACCGAGCGTTAGAAGGCATGTCCCAGATTAACGTTCTTGTCCCTGTGCCCCTCCCATCAACAATACCGAATTTGTGGAATGTACTTTGAAGTCGGGAGTTGTACTTCCCTCAAAATGTACCAGAAAAAATACTTTCTCAAGTAAAGTCCTAGTTTTCTAAACCTACTTGAAGTAGTGCTTTAAGTAGAAGGTACTTAAAGTACTTCCCAACACTGTTCTTTATATGAAACAGTCACTTGCTATAGAGGTTTTTCAGAAGCAAACAGCAACAAAATCAGATTCATAGATCATCAATGTGCTAGACGTTTATGTAGCTTTGTATTTATCTTGAGCTTTTCAAGACAATGGAATATTACAGTCAAGCCGTGAGGCAAATGGTGCCTTGCTTGAAACATACACCCAAAAATTCTAGTCTCTTCATTGTCTGATATTTGCATCACCTTTGTGCAGCCATTCAACCTCAAGGACGAGCTGAGCATTGCCAAGGCGATGAAGTACTCTAATGTCGTCATCAACCTCATCGGAAAAGACACCGAGACCAGGTGAAACCTGTCGTGGTTCTGAAGGTGCCTCTGTAGACCGCAAGGTAGCGCTTTAGAGAGACATGACGGGTGCTTCTTTGGAGCACTCCATGGTTCTTGGTGGCACTGGTACCCATATAATGTTAATGGCCAACCTACCTTTATTAGCGTAAGCGTGCTTGGTCAGCTCGTGTGAAAGCAGTGGAAGCTTGCATGCCTTATCTCACACCTTGCCGTATTTGGCTGTCAAAGTGCACGCACTGCCGTGTCTGTAGCTTCATTTCACTGCCAGTATGGCGCACTGGACGATTGCATGTTAATCTTCATGTGGATTGCCACTGTACCTCGTTCCGCTTCATCTCAGTGGTGACAGCTTCTTCATGCATTCATGTTTGAGGACTGCAAAGTCCACAAACTCGAACACATGAAATCTTTGGTGAGTTTACGGAGTCCACAAACCCACAAAAAGTTTTCTCAAACAGAAGGGTGGCCCGAAAGCATAAACTTGCACGCAGCACAGCGCACTCCCACGAACAAAGAATCTGCATAGCTTCAGGGCCACGCCCTCCTTTCTAACTGCCGTGACATGAACATAGAACGTTCCGGCAGATTTTCACGTTGACCTTTAGGCAGGTTCTTATAGTTCTATGGGACATAGTTCTTTGAGACAGCTCTATGAGACATAGTTCTATAGGACATACCATATCTACTCGAGTAATAGCCGCTCTGTTTATGAAGAAAACCTGAAGATTCGCTTTTCCACATAGCACGCAGATTGCCAATCACTGCGATCGACAGCATGATTCCAGCTGTTTACAGGACAGAGATAACGTCTTTGTGCAAAGATACCATTTGTGAAGATTGAATTTATATGGAGAATCATGTTCTCGATCTGGTTATTCGCTATGTTATTTATGCACAACGCAATTATTGGATGTATATGTGTTACGTGGGAAAGTAGGCGCAGGGGCCTTGTTCATAAATAGTGCGACTATTATGAGTAAACACGGTAATTATGAGTAAACACGGTAGTTCTACAGGACTGGTCTGTGGGACACACCTTACGACCACAGTCTTTAGCCGGATCTGGTCTAAAAACTTTCAGCTATAGGATAAACCAAACCACCAGTGACATGCTTCCGGTGTGGAGGTGTAGCTGATTGGATATGGCGCAGAACCTAATAAGATAACTAGAGAGATATTTCTTATTCCGCAGAAATCTCGCCAAGCGTTTAAAAGGCTTCGCAGCTCCTTCCAGCATTTCGAGAGACGGCGCTGATAACTGGTCCCCATGCTAGCATTTCCAGAAATGCGTCCAAGTTTGTCGATGCACATGAGATAGCCCACCCCATGCTTACGGCTACTGCTGCACGGAAGCCTAACGGTCCAAACGGGCAGATGGCGAGACCGAGAGTCGGTGAGATTGGGGGACTAGTGGCATCACCTGTCGTAGCCACCTGTAAAGGCTGGTTCTTGCATTTGCGTTTGAGTGTCGTGTGACTGCTTACGATGCAAAAACACGCTGGCACCCTCTACGGTGTTGCTCTGGAGCACTTTTGACCTGCCTGTATTACAGCGTCAGCTGTTAGTGGCCCGTTCCCCAATTTTTTTACAGCATGAGCGTAAACGAAAAGTTTCCCCACTAAATTTGGCGGGAAAATGGACGTTACGTGACCTATGCACCAATTCAGTTTTCCCGCTAAATTTGTCGAGAAAACACATCACAGCCGTAAAATAATTTTTTCACTAACAACGTATCGACGTTAAATCAGTGTAACATCATTTCAATAACAGATCACCGTACGGCACACGATTAGTGCAGTGTCAATCGCTTGTCATCATCATATCGTTGAATCGGCAGCACAGCTGATGCTGCTTAAAAGGATCACGTCGTGTGATCATCACGCAATTCTTTTACCTATCAATCTCTCATTGTGTGCTTGAAATATCTCTGACAATGTACTATAAAGAACCATTTCCCGTAGATATTGCGTAGATTTGATCTCGCGAGTAATAATGCAAAACCTTCAGCCAAGTTGTATGTAGTTTGGTAGTGTTCCAGCATTATTTGATAAGTGGCACCGGCGTGCGAGGACATTCCCTCGGCTTAAGCTCGTCCCTCGTCGGAATGCAGTGCCCCTGAATGCAAGGGCGATATTTGTCCGAGCTGTTGAAACCCTTCTCGCTTGGATCTGCCCGTTTCCGAGATTGTGTCCCGCCTGCGAGAAGAGCATAGAGAGGCTCGGAGAAAAATGGAGGAGGAAACCTTCTGCGGGCGGAAAATCCTTTCACGGTTTCTCTAGTGGTTTTCTCCCCCTACTGTGTATCATCGGCAAGAACATTTACTCGGCGAGAAATGGCAGTTTGCGAACCAAAGGCATCTAAGTAAGGGCCAAATGGTTCTGACCCACTTCAAATAAATCGAAAAGATCAGTAGTGCAAGCTCCGACACCGTAAAATATTACGGATGTATGGCAAGGCAATGCATTTGTTTCGTGAAAATATTGAAGTAAAAGCTTGGCTTGATCGGGAGATCAAATAAAAAATAGTTTCTTATGGTTCTGATATTTCAATGTTGTTCCCAAATAGAAGCACGTCGCTGTACTCTAAATCTGTATCAAAACAGAAATATGGCATCAAAACTTTTTTTTTGAGGGGGGGGGGGGGGGGGGTGGGGCAATTGTTTTGTGACTTATGTATTCCATCCAAGCACTTTAAATAAACATTTTTTATTAAAACGGCAATTTAGGCAAGTTGGTTCACAATCACCTAAAAAAGCGACGAAAAATATGCACGGAGAAGAAAGTGGACAATATCAGGGGCACTCACGACCAACGTTGGCAATATAGATCTGAATGAGCATTTTGCCATGGCTCTATAAGCTATAAAGTTCTCAATAAACATCAGTTGTGAGTGCGCCCCGTGTCATCCACTTTCTCGTTCTTTGCCCTTTTTTACTAGGCTAACAGTTTTTAGTTGCATCCTTTGATTGTTGACCTGGAACCCGCGTCCCGTGCAGCAACTTCCCCTTCAGCGAGGTGCATGTGAAGGGTGCCCAGACCATTGCCCGCATTGCCAGGGAGAGCGGAGTGCAGAAGCTCATCCACTTCTCCGCGCTCAACGCCACCGAGAGTCCCCGGCCCATCATCAAGTTTGGGGGCTCCAAGTTCTACGCCAGCAAGGTGGGCCCCCACCCCGCCCCTGTCTCCACTCACATCCGTTCCAAAACCCCAGGGTGGACGGCACTGGAGCATCACAAAAACAGCGCAGAAAACGAAGGACGAGTAGAAGACTGGACGGAATAAAAAAATTTGGTCAGAACCAACCATGTTGCTGTCTAGTTAAGCGATCAGCTGCGAAAACAGAATTTTTAAGGAACCTAATTCGTGTATAGGTCACGTGATATGGAGTGAGGTGACGTCACTTTCCTCGCTAGATTTAGCGAGGAAAATAAGCAACTGGAAACATACCTTGGAGTGGCCCGGAGATCCGAAGAAGGCTAATCGCTTTAAGAACAAAACAAATTAGTTGTAAGTTGTTTCGGTAGCAATAGCGTGATCTGCCAGAGTAGGCAACATTTTTAGTGCCCACTGTGGACTAGAAATTTAGCTAGTGGAGTACGATTGCTAGCCTGGGGCCTTTGACGTGCGTCACGCAGTAGCGATACACGACCGCATCCCTGTACGATGCTCGTCCAGATGAAAACGGGCGGGAGTGGGGACTGGGCCCAGAATCCCTGGGTGTTGTAGCGTGAGCTTTTGGTCCAATCGGTCACCAATCCCTCTGGACGGGACAAGCATGACTTTCAACCAATGTTTTATTGAAAAGATAAAGAAAAGGGTTAGGTTCAAAATTAAAACTAAAAGAAAAAGAAATTACAAAAATTTTGAAGGCAAATATGATACAAATGTAGCTGGAGATTTTATAAAAAAAAAAAAAGGTTTGAAATAATCATTAATAAAAAATTATTAAGAAGACTAATAAAATTTAAATGTTAAAGAGTGCAGAGACAAAAAGAAACAAATGGTAAATTATATTGAACAACCTTCATTTATTAAAAATTCAGCTACATTTGTATAATATATTTTTTTTTTCAAATTTTTTTGTTTTTCTTTTTTGTTTAAGTTCTTAACCTTGTCTTTTTCCACCTTTATATCTTCATTAAGACGTCAGTCAAATGTTGCGCTTGTCATGTTCAGTCTTCTACTTGTCTTTTGCGCAAACGTTTTCTCTGATGTTTAACCGATGAGTTCGACTGGAGTGTTTCTAGGGCTCACTTATTGCACACGTGACAATTTCTGTTATCATGAAAATTTCTGTTATCTTTGATTAACATCAATATCATTGATGTTAATCATCGAAGGACGAAAGCTTTGTACTATTTATCTGAATTAATGATTGCAGTTTTATTACATCCCTTAGGGCTCGAATAATGCGTAAATTTGGGTGCTCCATATTATTCCGTTCTAATATTATTTCTGCAGAATATGATACTTGGTTTACCTTTGGCTTCGCACCTAAAATAACCATTCACAACAGTTCGTACCGTAGCTTCATCGGTTGGCAAATGGTTGTCGTGCATGGTACTTCTACACGCAATGGCTTGTTCTGCATTTGAGGGAACCAAACCTGCCGTGCAGTTGATGCTAACAAAAGGTTACACACAACTAGGAATGCAAAGTAGACAATCTCTTCTGATGTACATGCCAACGCATGAATCTTAACATATAATATTTGCAATGCTAGGAATGAAAATGAAGTATGTGGTTATGCCCCAAAAGATCCCTTTGCTGGTCCAAAACAAACTTTTAGCTGCTCCAGAAGGTGTTCCAAAACAAATCGAACCAATCGCATCGCCATTAGAATCATAAGGGCTGGTTCACACATTTGCGTCGCGATTTCTTTGCCAGCTCTGAAAGAGAAACACCAAAAAACACCAAATCTATAGGAAAAAGAAAAAAAACGAAAAAACCAGACGGAACATTTCCGATATCGGAGAAATATAAACCTCGAAAACGCGAAGCCCTACTTATAATATTATCTGAATTATTTTGAGCCCACGGCGAGAGAATAATGCATTTAAAAAATGTACCGTTGCGCCGCCGATTCCCGACGGTACACGCTTGCATTTGGTGCAGGGGTTCGGATTCGGCGGAAAAGGGGCTATTCTTTGGGACATTGCACTATGCACCAGAGCAATATTCTTTGTTGGAAGGTCTTATAAACCCCCACGCAGTGTAGCCTTGGGGGCTAAAACGAAATCAAATCAAATGTTCTCTTCTTCAAATCGGTTTAATCCTTGGCAATCTCCTTACCATCTTTCTTTGTATGTTCTAGCGTACCTTTATTTAGTACCTGTTTGGTCGTCTTCTCCCCTTGCCATGTCACTGGTACTCTCTGGCCAGATTCGTCCCTCATGCCATGGAGTCTCATTCAGTCTATCATCTACGAAAGCAGACTTCTCTTTACCTTTTCTTTTGTTGTGCCGTATGTTGTTGTCTTTGTCGTTTGTACGAAATATGTCGTACTAGTCTGGCCGTGAAAGAACTCCTCGACCGCTCTCGCATTTCTTTTACGCGTCGGTCGTTCGTTTAAAGTTGACGTTCCTCATCGTCGAACCTCGGCCCAAAACGTTTCCTTCGTACCTAGAACATTCTTAGAGTGGAACCACCAGCCCATATTATTAGTATCAATATCTTCAATAGGTATTAATAATTACTTTCGTGTAAGTGTCCCGCAACTGCATTTTACTAATATTTTTATTTGCTAATTTTTTATGCATACTAATATCTTCGCAACGCTTTGGTTGTTTTTGTTCAGTGGCTGGGTGAGCAGGTGGTACGAGAGGAATTTCCGGACGCCATCATCTTCCGGCCGGCGGACATGTACTCCCATGAGGACCGCTTCATCCGCTACTACGTCAGCCACAGTGAGCGTGCCAGCACTTTCGTCCTGGCAGGACGGTCCCACCACTGCTTAGACGCGAGAGTACAATCGCAGATAGAAACATACACTTGCGTGCAAACTATAAATAAACCGTTTAATGAGGCAGGCTCCTGCCATAAACTAAAACAGAAACAAACTAGATTCTGCAACAGCGACAAATGGGCGACCTACTGGGAGCAGTGTGGTGCCGCTTTTTTTATGCACGCGCTGCTTTCAGGAACGTTCTATGCCAGAACACGCGATGATAGACCAGGACGAACTGGAACTTTCCAGAAGGGACGAGAGAAGAAAGAATTTGGCCGGCGGGGTTAGAAAACCTCTTACTTTCGCGTGCCAGACACGTACGAAGCCGACTTCGCCATGCGGGTGCCAATAGCGCATAAGGGTCCTGTCGCACGGCAGTCATTTTGAATAGCTATAAGACGGTTTTAATTTATTAAAAGAAATAGAAAAGGACATACCGTATTGACTCGCATAATGAACGCACTTGCATAATGTACGCACCCGCCACAACGGGTACCAATATTTGGACTTTTTTTTTTCCCTCGCATAATCAATGCATTTCCAATTTTTGGCTCCGCGAATCTTGAATTGCATCCAACTTAGCTAGCCACCAAGCAAATTTTCTTTTGCCACTAAGCGTTCAGGCCAAGTCAAGCCAAGCCAAACCGTTCTCGTAATGGCCGCAAGTACGTAGTTGCGGTAGTTGCGGAAGTGATCAACCGTGAAACCAAGCGGCGCGCAAACTTGACGAAGTTTGGGTCAAGGAATTGCCCAGCTCCGGACATTCTTCGCCTATCGTATGCATTGATGTCAACAAACATGCCGTTGTCTGTGGTCTGCTTTCGGACCGTAAAATCTTGAATGTTGTTAGGCCTAATTTCACATACTCTGGGTAAACGCGTTTATTTAATCCATAACAGAACGGCACAGCGTCTCCATGAACGAAACTTGATCCGTGGGAGCCGACTCGGGGGTTGGAAGAGTTCTTGTACGCGTAGTCGTGGATTATACCTGAGCGCGCCACCGGATACTAGCAATATATATAACCTAAGAATGGTCGCTCTCCTTTCCGTGCTGAATGAGCTTCATAGGGCGATTTTCCTTCTGCAAAAGGCATGCTGAAAGCACTTTAAAAAGGTTTGCAATTTATAAAGCATGGTTACTGTGGCGTGCCCCCGACCATCCGTGGGTGCACTTCCATCAGTTGAGACGTGCCACAGTACCTTGCCGTGTCATATTGGCACCTAATGTGACATTTGCACGAAGTGTGTAAATGCAAAAATTTTATCCTGCGCAATGAACGCCCCCCCCCCCCCCTTTAAAAAAAAAAAAAAAAAAAATGTGTCAATTTTTGAGGAAAAAGAAGTGTGTTTGTTGTTCGAGTAAATACGGTAATCAAAAGTAGCTTTGCTAACATATTTCTTCGGTTGAGCGGCAGCTGCCGACCTTAAGCGGCCGTCGTAATCAGTTTGTAATCAGCTGACCATGATCGAGTTACGAATCCCGGCGCCTGATTTTGGTCGAGGAGAGAATGAGAGCATTCTCTGCCTCCAATAGGACACAGTGCCACAGCTTCTGAATAATAAACCACTGAGACATTCTTGACTCGCTCGCAAGTTGAAAATGAGGCAAAATTTTTAAAAGACCATTTCCAAGTTGTATTTTGGGCATTGTTACTAATGAAAATAAAGCTATGTTCTATGAAAATAAGGGCTACGTTCACCAAATACTAATTAGCGTGAAAGTTCCCGCAGCCTCCGATGCGCTTGTCCTTAGTACTTCTTCATCTACTGCTTGATGTCAGCTTGTGTACCACAACGGAACAACTCGAGGTTTGCAAAAAAGTGAGAGTTGTTAAAGAGACTGTGAACCGAAACTTGGATTTCGAGAAAACACTGCAAGAGACGTAGGCGGGACGCTACAATCCCTACAACACTACTCGTAAAGGGGTGTCCAAACAGGACACTACAAAACGCACGACTCCGACAAATCGTGAAAATCGAAGCGGACGCTTTTATTTTTACGATTTGTCGGAGTCGTAAAAATTTTTGCAGGAGTCGTGAAAATTTTCACGATCACGACTGCTCTCCTCGCCTCCTCCACTTTTCTCTGACGTCACACGCCACCTGTATCTGGCTCACCTCGCCAACGACCTCGCGTACCGTTGTTGCCTCGGCTCGAAGGCCAAGGGGGTCCGGCTTCGGGTGGATTTGGGACATTCCTGCGTCGAAGGGTGCGTTTCGCTCGCCTCGGATCTGCTTTCTTTGTCGAGATTCACTTTCGTCGTGACGGCGTCCGACGCGGTTCCGTATTGTGAGCGGAGGCCTTGAGCGAATGACCGACAGCCAACAGAGCGTGTGAGTGGCTCTCCGGACCCACGTGATAAGCAGAGCAAGGCCGCCGTGGAGGAAGCGAGGGGGAGATTTGACGGAGGGAAGTTTCCCCCCGGGAAGAATTGACGGAGGGAAATTTCCCTCCGACGGCCAGAAGCGGATCGCGGCAGAGCGCGGCACGATTTGCCGGAGTCGTGAGTTTTGTAGTATCCTGTTTGGACAGGCCTTAAGGCGATATCTCAAATGGACGGCCGTATTTTTGGAAAAAGAGGTCGAGATTGATCCAGGCCGACGAGGTGCGTGACGTGAAGATACTTCGTTTCCTCCTCCCTTCGCTTCGCTCCCTCAAGGCGGCAAGGTGGAAAAGACGCGAGGTCGTTCCCTCTCCTTCTCGGAGAAACATGACGTCAACATTCCTGCCAAATGCGCCTCCTTTTCTTGAAAAATACGGTCATCCGTTCGAGATATCGCTGTATGAGTGATGTTTTGGTGTTAGTAGCATCCCGTTGCATGCTTTTGCCGTGTGTTTTCGGGAAGCCAGATTTCGGTTCAGCATCCCTTTAATGGCTTTAAACGTGAAATAACGGACAATGGCAATTTCCACCCTGGTCCGATCTCACTCTGACGCGGCGCTTGGTTTGTAGCGGACGATCAACTTCTTTTCGACCTGTTAGCGTACAACGTACAGTGTTTTCTCGTCTTATTTTCGTTTACAAATGGCGCTTCATAGCTGACAAACCGCATTCTTTGCTCGTGTCAGCGGACAAACCGTCTAAGAATGCTATTTTCTTTTGCTCTACGAGAAGATCTTTCTCGGTGACGAAAATCATACACCTGGAACGAGTCTTTGACTGGTGCGTTTACCGTCCCATCCCGACCTTGCGCCGCAAGTTGTCCTCAGGTGGCAGGAAATTGCACCACGGAAGCCAACGTGTCATGCTGTCGGATGTCCCAATCATGGCGGTTTGTCATAGAGGTTCTGGCAACAAAGGCGAACAAATGCGAGGGTTGCCGTCGCGGCGGCGCTTTATCTAGCGTCTGCTTTGGTTTTTGTGGACTGCCTGGCAGCAGAGCGACCCACGGCAGAACAGGCGTCTGCTGCGTCCACTACTGCTGCTCCTGCATCGCCCGGATCACGGCAAGAAACCACACAATGCTTTTTTGGTGCCACGGGGCAGAAATCGACGCTTTAGAAGACGCAGTAAACAATTGAGTTGGAGACGCGCCCCAGGGGTCCAATTTTGGTCACCGCAAGAATGAGATCGAATTTATCTCTTGCGGAGCGAGCGAAAATAGCGTTCATAAACGGATCATCCGCTAACGTGAGCAAAGGACGTGGTTTGTCTTCTACAAAGCGCCATTCGTGGACAGAAATAAAACGAGAAAACGCGGTACATCGTCTGCTAACGATCCGAAAAAAAAGTTAATTGTCTGCTACGAACTGCATGCTGGTGAAGTGAGATCGAACTCGGGCTGAAATTGTGATTGTCCGTTATTTCACGTCGAAGGCGACCGATAACCCGCGCTTCATTCGCAAATATCAAGTCGTTCCACTGCCGTACACAAGCTAACATTTACCGGCGGATGAAGGAGTACCGAGGAAAAGCACATCTGAAGCCGCGAGACCTCTTGCTATTTGTACGTCGGTGAGACGTCTTCACCAAAGTATTGTCCAATTGTGAACTCCCGAACGAATAAAAAATGTTGGTTGCTTATGCGCAAGCTGTGGCACCACATCCAGTCAGCACCCGGGAACGCTTTCGGTCTCCCTTTAACCAAAATCGGACCCCAGGTACCAGGCTTGAGCAATCAAAGTCTGAATGGAGAGATTTGCGTTTGTGACGTCGCGGCTGCAATTGTGCCACGCGTCCCAGTTCGCAGGAACTACGTGTTGATGCCACTCTGGAACAAAGGCAATGGCATTGTGAAGCAGCCCGTCTTCGCGTCGGACGTGGCGGAAGGCGTGGTGAACGCCATCTTCGACGACAACAACGCCGGGGAAACATACCAGGCTGTGGGGTGAGCGATGGATGCCTCCTCTGTTGCTGCTCAAAAGTGTACGGTTCTTTGCTTTCCGTTCATGCTGAAGAACCTATAAAAATAAAGTCAGAGCCAGTTCTATCAAGACCGGGGAAACTCGAAAAACCCCGAATTGGAGCTATAGCTGAATGGGAAAATATTAACCTAAAAAAACACCCCCCCAATTCAATTAAAAAATAAACCCCTAGAGCACGGAAACCTACATAAAATAGGGTTGTCTCTTTTCGGTAAATACAAATAATGCACTAAGTGTTGGAAAAAAAATAAAGTCACTTCCGATTGAAGCGCGTTTTGGAGGCTATAACCATTCGACTCATCTCTGGATAGCAAATCTCAGATGTGGTTTACAATTCGTCGAACATTTGGACTCGTCAGATTCGAAAGTTGGACATTTGCAGAATCTGTAGTAATTAATTTTGACAGTTAAAGAATCAAATGATATTCTCAGCGTAACACATTTTTACATTTCAGCCACTTTATTCTGTTGGTATGTCCTTGAAACGTCGATCTCAAAGAAAGGTTTGCAGCATGTCACTAGTTACCGACGAGATGAGAACGGTGAATGATCCTCTGCTGTTGTTATCCTATTGGTGCATACAGAATTGCTGCAAACCTTTTCAGTTGTCCCGCCTTCAGTGTGAGCATGCTACCTTCTACAACGCTTCGACATCTCACGAACCTCAAACATTCGTGTGTAGCACAATTGAAGGCAACGCACGGTGGAGGCGTTCGAAAGAGATGCCGCTCTCTCTTTGTCGGTGACTCTACTTTTGAAGATCTTTGTGCGAGAGATTGATCAGATTTAATAACATCGCTTTATTACGTCGACGAAGAAAATCCCGCTTAAAATTAACGTCTGCAACTTTGTACCACTTGAAGGCCACGGCGCTACGAGCTGGGCGAGCTGGTCGACTACATGTTCCGGGTGATGCGGCGGGAGGACGGCTACGTCCGCTACGACATGCGTTTCGACCTCCAGTTCCTGTGAGCACGCTCTTTGTTCCCTTGTGTGTTCGTTTTCTGTGCGTTCGTCTTCGTGTGCCTTTTTTTCTTGTTGGGTCTACTGTCTACCAACTGCCCTAGCCTACTAACCTTCTTTAATCCTCTTGTCTCAATGGGACGCAGCATCTGTTTTTATCTGTGTATACTAAAAAGCATTAAGGGTGCAGATCCCAAATCAAGTTAAACGCCAACGTGGCTGAGTCGCAACGCTCAAAATTAGCCGCTAAAGGAAAAACGAGACGTTACATAGTGCGAAGCTGTTAGTGTGAGTGAGTGATCACCATACTTTTTCTGTTCCTCTCGTAGAGCCGAAAGGCTGTCATCAAAACTATACTAATGTTATGCGAAGTGCTCGTTTGGGGCACTGACATAGTACACTCGAGCCCGGTTATATCACACCCGGGTATTTCGCATTACAGTCTAAACTCGTTATAACAGAGGTTGATCTTAACCAAGATTTCGGTCTGTTGTAAAAGGGGTATGTTGTATGCAGATGTGAAGTTGAGTCAATGGTATGTAGACGAAAACCAACCGAACTTCACAATTCGGTACGTTATATCCAAATGTCTGTTGTAACCAGGTCTGTTGTAATGAGCGTAGACTGTATTGTTTATATCGAGCAGTCCAAACATCCCTTTGAAAATCACATGTAAAAGTATAGGAGCATTGTTTTTCTGTATCGAACTCCCATGGCCTCCCATGTGCGCTCGAGGAATTGCGGGCACGGCGTTGTATCTCCTGGTTTCCTTCAGACTGCTTTACCTTGCCTTTGACGTCTTCGTATTCTGTTTTCTTAGCTTTAATTATCTATTCTAGCATATTTTTATTGTTTGTAAGTGTATATTTTGTTGTGTGTGCTGCATATTTTGCGCTCGCTCTGCTGAGATGTGAGCGTGGGATCTTCGAGCACCCTTAGCTTGCTGAAGACACAAGACGCTGCTTTGTCGTCACGAATCCCTTGCCCTTCGAACCTCTGCGAAGCCGTTCCAGCGCTCGGCGTACCCTGCATGGCGCCTTTCAACAACCGCTTGCCCAGCGTTGCAACCTTTCGTTTGCGAGCGACGACAGTTCACGTTTACGGGGGTTCATAAAATGGTCCATTCGAGTCGCGACGACGAACTGCTGGCGCTCGCAGACGGCCAGCAGGTGCCAGTCGCGGAAGGTTACGATGTTGCACGGGTAGTTGTTGACAGGCGCTTCACAGGTGTTCGAAGGGCAAAGGATTCCCGACGGCAAAGCGACGTCCCGCATCTTCAGCAAGCTAACGGTGCTTGAGGGTCGCGCAGTGACGTTTAAGCGGAGCAAGCGCGGTCGGTCAGATTGAGGCGCAGTCGGCTTTCGCGTTGCGATTTTTACTTCGTCGCTCTGTTTACGCTTATAAAATGTGCCCCAACATGTGAAACGGCTTTCCCGAGACTGCACACGGGTCAAATGGACAAGTTTATAGCTCGATAGAGTGTCGTGACAATGGTAGTTCATACTCCCCTCGACAGGGACGTAAGCGGCAGCGTGATGTCTGTCGACGCCTACATTGAAAACGACGAAGTATACAAAAAACACTACCGTAATATCCCGAGTCATCGCCCATCCCCGAGCCATCGCCCACCCCATTTTTTGGGCCAATATCGATTTCCGAAAAAACACCGAGTCATCGCCCACCCCTTCAAATACCCCAGCGCGGACTCTGCGATTCGCGAACACTCATCCTACCCGAATGACGCGGCCGCGGACCTTACAGTTGGAGGACGTCCGTGACAAAGTAAAACGAAGGAGGGAAAGACACTCCTTTTTGTTTACGCATTTCCTCCGTGAGCGACCCCAAAGTGGTCGTGTATCCGTGCGAAAAGAAAACGATGGAGATAACAAAATAAGAACTTGTTAATGTAACCGCAGAGTGTTAGGTCAAAGTCTGTCTCCGCCGAAGTAAGGTTACCGCGAACCCGCTCCTTCTTCCCGCCCGTCGCGACCGCGGTTGTGCAATATTTTAGGCAAAGCCAACGCGTAAATAAAGCTTTGCTGGAACGCCCTACACAGACGTTGGCAGAGCGTCCCAACCCTGCATTGATAGCCTGCCGTGCACGGACGCACGTATGTACGCACCAAACAAGAAAGTTGCGCAAGAGCTTGCAATTGACAAGGCGCCCGACTTGGCCCGACGCCGAAGTATTTGCCAACGCGTCCGCCGGCTTTCCCGCTTTCCCAGCATTGCTCTTGGTCGCTTCTTTGGTCCGCTCGCTCGTTGCGCCTGGTCGGTTTTTCTATTTTCTTGTAGACTTTTCTTTCTTTTTTTTTACTAACTAGGAGAACATAGTGGTGACATTCTTTCACGGAACAAACGTTCGCGCTATATGCAGATCGGCGGTGTTTCTAGCGCGTATGCAAGCAACGGACTTCGCCATAGTAAAATATTCTTTCGTGAGCATTTTTTTCTATAAAACAATGAAACTAAATCGAGTTTTGAGTTTGAAATATCTCTTGTGCATCAGCGCTAGATACGGAGAGAAAAATAGGCGTTTTCCGCTTTTTTGAAGTGTTTGTGCTCACCCACCGAGACATGGCCCACCCCACTTTTTTAATGAATTTCAGGCGGTAGGGGGGTGGGCGATGACTCGGGATATTACGGTAGGTAAATATACAAAAAATACGGCATGCAGAACACTATATACACTCTCAAACAATTACTATGCTGGAATGGATAAAAAAAGAGATAATTAAAGCTAAAAAACGTAAGATTGAAAGGTCAATGGCGAGGTAAGGCAGTCTGAAGGAAGAGCAGCCAGGAGACGGAATGCCACACCCACAATTCCTCAGGGGCAGCATTTGGGTAAAACTGAAATAGGCTGAACAAGGACATTGCAAACGGTCATAAAATAATAGCCCAGTTGAGTGCTTTGAATGGCTTTCAACATACTGCTGGGCACATACCTGCGTGAACTCGCTTCCAGGTGGGATAAACATGCCTGTTTCACTTTGTTCTTCATTCTTCTTGTTCTACCAGAGGCTCGAGATAAATATCACTGCCGGCGTAGGATTGTACAATTTTGTACACGTTTTGGTACAAAATAAAGATTTTTTTTTTTTGCATCCGCTTGCATATACAATATTCCCTTAGTGGTTCCCTCTCCAATGCCTTTTGGATTTTGACTCGTTACAGCACCGTTCCATTAATTCCTGCTCTTTGCACAGGGCTCGAGTCCACTTGCTACAGTCGCTATACCGGAAGTATCCAGCACTGTCTTGGGAAAGGCTCGAAAGGGTGAGTGCTTTTTGGCTTTTCTGGTTTTTGCGTTGAACGTTGACTTTGCGTAGTACTATTGGCAGTATCGGCGTTATTTGCACTTCGAGTAGAGAAAATACTTAAAATGGTGTCATTATGACTTACTCTATGCAATAATAAACAAAATGTATCAGCACTATCAGTGATGTGATTGCTGCGCCAATTGCGCCAAACTGCGCCAAAGAGCTAACCCTGCTACATCCTGCTACAGTTTGCCAAAATATGGGTAATCTGCGCCAAGCCTGCGCCAAAACACCAATTTCGGTCACCTTTCAAGACCGAAACTACACTAAGTACCGTAATTGAGCATGCCTGTGTTGTGTGGTGCAAGCGGCCACCCGACACGAAGTACCATGCATCCTGTCTTGTATGGTTTTCCCGCCGTCTCACGTCTCGCGCTCTCGTGGGTCTCATCTCGGGTCTTTTGTTTAAATATTTTCAACGAAAGACGCGAGTGTGTGCAGACGCTCCGACGCTACCGTGCCGGGTACCTGCCATGCCGTCATGCTGTGAAATGAAACCACGTTTTTTTCTGGTGGAAGTGACTTTGTGAGCTGAAGCACTCGCTCCTGAAAACAATGGCCGTGGGAAAACTATATTTGGTCCCTGCCTTCCAGTCACCGTGGTCGTGCGACGTCGGGTGTTGCCGTCCCCACGTCGCTGCGGATATGGCGCTTTCTAAAACGAAACTAAGTACGGCTGCATGTTCATCAACATTCCTGTTCTTATTTAAATCGTACGTTACTACAAAAATCACTCTTTACCTCAAAGACTGCTGTGACGAAGTATTGATTACGTAAGTTTCTCTCGGTGGGCTTCCTTTCGAGAGGGACCCCAATACATGAAAAATCTGCCGCGAAAGAAAGTTGATGAAGAGAAGAGAGCTAACACAAAGAAGGCAGTGTATGAACGCTGAATCCGCACATCGCGCTTGTTTGTCTCGAGCTCAGTCATTGCACAAAGCGCTCCAAGAACTTTCTGACCCTGGCTCGCGATGTCTTGCATCGACGTGCTCAGGTTCTTTCTTTTTTTGCGTGTTTAGCTTGCACCTGGTTTGGCGGCCTGGCAAGCACGCGCCGCTGGACGTTTTTGTGTCGTATGCCCGACAGTTACATTTTGCACACAATTTTGAGAATCCGTTGGCGACAGAGCAGAGTGGCATATGGTCTTGGTTTCGATAGAACAGCCGTTGTCTCCGCTCGCGCGACGAAGCACGTGCAACTGCAAGCCTGCCGAAGTCGCCCTCAAGTGAATGCGAACGTGATTGCACGACAGAGGCACCAGACGGGATGCTTGAAAATCCATTGTTTTACGTTTGCTTACTTTGGCCGAAAATTTGGCACGTCGGGAACCAGTAAAACGGTGGCAAGCGGTTTTTCGGAATTGCTCGGTAATGCCTACAGCGCTGTACATTTGTGGGATGTCTCAGCACTAAAACTACAAGCAGCGAGTTCCGTTGCAACAAGACGCATCAGAACCCAACAAAGCACGAAGGGCCCTTCGTTAATAGGAATATTTTTTTTTCTAAGAATATTTTTCCCTAAAAGTCATTTTTGCTGCTTCTAAACATTGTCTTGGCTGCTCCAAAAGGCACTTTTGCTGCTCCAAAACACTGTTCTGGCTGCTCCAAAGGTCACATTTGCTGCTCCAAAACACTGTTTTGGCTGTTACGAAAGGTGCTCCAAAATGGCTTAGGCCAATCAAATCACTGCACTATGTAAAACTGCAGTTTTTTTCCAAGTTTAAAATCTAACTGACCATTTTTGAAGCATCTTTTGCATTTCATATACCGTACTACAAATAATGCATGTCAGATCCAGGGCCAGCCACTAACTTACGCTGTACCAGCACTACTTAACAAACTAGAGTGTCTGACTGTAGCACACTGCTGTGTGTGAAATTTTTATAAATAATAGGTTCAGTGCGACTCATCAATTCCGTTGTACTTGAATAGTCGACCAAGGTCTCGTCAGGTGCAAAAAACGATAAAAGCTACGCTCGATTACTGCATTGCGATAATTCTTAGTGTTATTACAGTGAGTGTATCTCCTAGCTTTCATTTCATCGCTTGTCACCGCCTTTTCACTGCCGTTGCCTAGCAGGGGCTCCCTGGCAGGCAACGGCATTTTTAGACGTATATTTATGCTAAAACATTGCTTTCTCAATACCTTTAAATTTTTACTATTAGCAAATTTGCAGGAAGAATACTTCAGTGTCTAGGGCAGATAGAAATATAATTTTTTCTGCAACATGCAGTTAAGTGTTCAAAGCATACAATGTTGAGAGCAGATTCTCCAAAATAGGAATAGGGCATTTTTTTTAACTGGTCTATCGTTTTATTACCTGGTGGCCACACGTTAAACACTGAACTTCAATGTGTCGTAAAACCACTAATAATGTGTCAGTCTCAAAACCACTTTCAACATTGTATTCTTTATATTTTGTAGTATAAGCCATAAATCAGACGAACTGCATAAGCATGTACAGTATAGACCACTTACAACGTATCCGCTTATAGTGCAGGACCGGGTATAACGCGGTTTTTTTAAACCACCGGTTCGCTTCCCATAGAACTCCATGTAATTACATACTGCTTAAAATGCAGGCGCGCGAAGGGAAATACCGGTTACAGTGCGGTTACTGGCACAGCCCGCCGACCGCGCCGACGACCGGAGCAGCGAGCACGCTTCCCTGTGCGACACTAGATAACGGCGCGAGCCGAAACAAGCGGCACTCGCGGGACAAGGAGGTTGCTCGGAGAAGCGAAGAGAGAGGCTTCAGTTGCCATAGCAACGGTAGGACGCACGCACATGTTCACGTGCGTGCGTCCCTCCGCTGCGTTGGAAACAAACAACCGCAACGACAGACCAATCGCAAATCGAGGAGAAGTGTTCGCGCGCGTTGCATGCCGGTCGTGGGCCGGCTGCTTCTATCCGCAAACATGGCGTCGGTTGTGATCGTCGTCGTAGACGGCGTTCATCTCATCGTTCCGCGTAAAAGCGCTATCCTTGACTGTGAATTTTCATTGTGTGTCGCTATGATAACCCAGCACGTACTAGAAGGGAAGACCCACCTACTCGTGCGGCGATGTCGTTGCGGCGCTCTCAAGACGGCAGAAACGCCCGTGTCGTCGTGTGTGTTTACTTCGACTACAGTGGTGATTTCTAAGCATTTGTGTCCTCGAACATCGCCCGAATTTCTTATTTGGCGCATTTCATGCGTGTGCTCAAGTTCAAGGTATTACTGGCGCGTACCGTATGAAGGATGTGAATTTTCACGCGTTTTCATCTCCGGAGAAAAGTGATTAGGGTTAGCAATCCTGAACGCTTGCAACGTCCGTCCGCAACCCCCGACGCCGTTAAAAGGCTGCGCCAGGCAAAAGCCTCTCATTTCTTTCAAAATGTGTGACACATTTGAGAGAACTGTACTAGTCTGGTGAAATAAAGACTTTCCTCAAACTAAGCTTTATTTTTCATCTAACATAAAATAAATTCTTTTACAAAGGTAAGTTGTCTCATGGCATGTATTTTGGCCTGAAAAATTGAAATTTTTGGTTATAACGCAGTACCCCTTATAGTGCGGATTTTCGCGACTCCCGTGACATACGTTATATGCGGTCTACACTGTATAGTTTTATTGTGTTTGGTGTCAAATTAAGGGAGAAAGCTCAGAGACCAGCACACCCCCCTTAACCTCGGTTATTCCCGTCTGCAGGAACACACGACAGACGAGGTGTTCTACGAGCTCCCCACATTGGAGGATCTGAAAGTCAACCTGACGTATGTCGAAGATCGGTTCCCATACGAACTGAAGTACTTCCGAGATGCGGCCTACTACGACCCGGACATTGCGCAGTTCGAGAAAGTGCGGCCGCCCCCCGTCATCCTCGAATGAACGGTCGTCGCCGGCAGGATGGAAAAACTATAGGAATATGTACGGCTGTAGAACGCGTTGTCACATTAAAGGCTGCAGCGAAATTTCGTTCTGGCTGTATGTGAAGTTGTAACGTCCACGCACTTGCTTTATTGGGTGCCTTCGCCAGCCTGCGGCGAGCGAGCGTCCCCCGTGCACCACTGACCCGGAGGAAAGCACATTCCCTCGTGCACTTTGGTGTGGTTTGTTATGTACCAGTGCTGCAGTTTTTGGCAGCTATTGTGACAACACACGAGGAAATTTGACACTGGTCTTCCCTTCTCGTCAGAGAAAACTTTATTAAATAAACGAAAAAACTTGTGAATCGTCTTTATTCTACGAAGGCAGTGCTGCAGTTGCTGATGAGACAAATTATTTTCAGTGGTCCAAAATCTGCCGAAGTTGCGCAATTCCAGAAGCATTATGATTTCAGGATGAAGTGCCATTTGCTACAAGGTTTACTGCGTGCTGCAGAACAGTTGAAATTGTATTAAATTATTAGTTTATCACAATAATGCTAAAACAAAGTGAAGTACCAGAACCCTAATCTTGTCATTAGATAGCTGCCTAATTGGCATTTCAATTGCTGTTCAATTCGGACCACGAAAACACAACACACACGGCCTTAGGTTTTAGTGTGAAACCAACGATGGTGGCACCAGATATTGCTAAACGTGTGTAACATACGCACATCCCCAGTGAACACGACTACAAGAGATGTGCCTCAATAATGATACACGGGCATGTCAAAGGTGAATGGCAGTGGCATTGGGTTAGCTACGTGGGAGGGACGCGTATTTTGAAATCCTACCCATTACAGGGGGGCGGAGCCAAGGAAAAAACAAAAACAAACAAAACTATGTTGACTCCTATTGGTCCACATGACTATGACGTCATTGGCTGCTCGTTTTACCGGCAGCAGCCCCTTTTTATTTTTGTTTTGTTCTAATTATAAATTTACTGTAATAGGCACTTGCGCAGGGTGCAATAATGGTTAAAATAGTTTGCGATGCTTTTAATTAGGAACAAAAGTCGTTGTGCTAGCATTAAAAAACGTCCAAAGATGCGACTGCACGGCCGAGACGACACAGACGGACGTGTTTACGCTGATGTGCGTGCGGGTTTTATCTCGCACGCTTCCACAGGTTTGTGGTTTCTTCATGTCATTGTGTTTTTAGGATTTCAAAGTACGTATGCGGGACATACTTAGATGGTTCTGTGCAAGGCTTTAATGCTGAGGACCCCATAGTTGCCATTTTGTATTTGTCTGAACATGGAACCTTTAGTGTTTAAACAAACACGCAGACCCGCTACTTTGTCGCTATATTGTGATAGCCTTTGCGGACATCTGGTAAAAAAAGGTCTCTTCAAGCTCGATGATACTGCAGTTATTGCAAGTTGCAAGCGAGCTGGGCAAGAATGACGAAAATAATCCCTGGAGAAGGGGAACAAAAGACAAACAAATCTCCAAACACAGCTAGGTGACTGGTGCGCGACCAAAAAGATCCGCCTGGTCCTGTTATCGAACCAGGGACCTCTGCATTCCCAGTGAAGCGCTCTACCAACTGGGCTAACCAGGAGTTAGACATTAGTAGGGCAAACGGGTTTTATCAGCTGCCACCAGTTTAACATCAACAAGGGTAACGGCCTGCACTTTAAAGTTATGACAACGCAATTATTCTGAGGTGCAAGCGAGCTGGACAAGAATGACGAAAATATCAGGACCAGGCGGATTTTTTTGGTGGCGCTCCAGTCGCCTAGCTGTGCTTGGATATTTGTGTTTGTCCTTTGTTCTCCTTCTCCAGGGATTATTAATGCGAAAGCATTAACTGTCCCATGGAGTGAGCCGACGTCATCAGTTGCCGCACCAAACGGAAGCTAAACTTCCCCCTCCCAATGGAGCGAAGTGCAGCTGCGATCTGAAGGCTCCCAGCTTTGAAGCTGTGCAAAAAGCCATGCCAAACGGTAAATAAATTCCGCTCTCCAAGTGAAGCCGAAACCTGATAGATAAGACTTCAATTGGCTGGCACGCGTCATAGTTTCCAGTAACGAGGCTCTCATTGGCCGAGGCGCGTGAGTTTCAAGGATAGCCACCCCTGTGGCGCTACGTGCTCGCACCAGATGAAGCCTCGCCAGAGCGCGCCGGGAAAAGGAAGCGTTTGGCTGGCGGGGCTTCCCAGAAAGAGCCCGCTCGAGCATACTCGGGAGAGCGGCCACTTCATGAGAGAATGCGCGCAAGAACGACATTCATGCTTTTGCATTCACAACTCGTAAGAAGTGCTTAGGTGTGCCTCGAGCCTTTTATCGTCATTCTTGTCCACCTCGCTTGCACCTTTGCATTAATCGCATTATCAACGAAAGTAACCCGAGTATTTTCTTTTGGTGTGCATCCGTGAGGGAGAGGGGGATGGAGGTAAGGGGAGGAAGCAAGGTGCATGGCATCCCTCTCCCTCCCCTCTTGTGTAGCGAGGGGCATGCGTGAGCGGCGCCGGCCGCTGACAGGCGTGAAACCCGATGCCCCAAGGGATGCATGCGGATGGCGGTCACAGCGGGTGGGCGGGGCCACCGGCTGCTGCTGTTTTGGTTGTTTTCGTGCACCAAAAGCATTCTGAAACAAGAAGCGGCGCGGCTCTACGGCGACGCCGGCTGGGCGACTAATAGGTCCATGCCCTCGATAGTGTCGCGAAATTTGGTGACAAATGTACGTCGAAATTCTCCGGTCATGATTATAGGTCCAACCTTAATTTTTGACAACATTTCCCAAAAATAAAAAGGTCAACTCATTCAAATAAATAGAAAAGTTGGTTTATGAACATTTCGTGGTAAAAGCATGTTTCCAACTTAACATAAAATATAACGCACTGTCAAACTTTGAGTTCGCTGGTGTACAAAATTGTAGAGATGCCTCGACACTCGAGGCAATGACTTAACCATGTAGTGTAATTTAAAACGCTGTTCCAACTTCTATGCGAACCGAAAATTTTTCTTAAAAAGCACCTTCGTACAACTGCACAAAAGCCTCAAGCGTAGTAGACCGTTTAACCTCGCATGGATGACGCTGTTAGAAAACCGTAAGAATAAATTGACTTTCACCGAAATAAAAAGCATCTCGCACCCTCTACCATCTGAGCTAACCAGGAGCTCCTGGCAGTCAGTGGAATGGAGAAACGTTAACAGTCGCCACCAGTCTTGATCATAAGTACTGCGAGGGTGAGATAAAAAGTTAATGATTAATATAATGATTTTTATCGAAACTCGCCAAGGCATTGACCCGGCGGATTTTTTTGAGCGGCCATCGGTTGCCTAGAGGGCCCGAGTTGCACTCCATTTTAGGTGGAAGTTAATTTATTCTTACATACATCTTCTCCACCTTGGGAACTTCCCCTAAATATCATTATATTAATTAACATCTAATCTTGCCCTTGCAATGATTATGATCAAGGCTGGTGGGAACCATTAACATCCATTTGCTCTACTGACTGCTAGCACCTGGTTAGCTTAGGTAGTTGGAAAAGCACTTCGCTAGTCTTGGAGAGTTCCGAGTTTGATACTTGGAAAAGGCCGATTTTGTTGGCGGCAACAAGTCTTCTAGGGGGCGCGAGTTGCGCTCCATTAAAGGTAGAAGTCATTATATAAATAAGTTACAAAGCGGCAACAAACAATGTTTCAACGTCTCGCGTGCGACCCTTCACTTCGAGGACTCCGGGCCTTCTGCTCGCACAGGCGTCGGGCGTACTCAAAGTCTAGCACATCCACGTCGTGCGCGACGTAGGTGTAGACTGTGAAGCAGAGAGCCAGGACAGCCCTATCCAGGTGCATGGTGGGACGCATCCACAAGATGGCCGCCAGGGCGGTGAGGCCGGGGTGCCGCATGTGCCCGAGGCAGCGGACAAACTGCCAAGCCTTTTCTTGCAGCGGGCTGCCGTAACCCTTCAGGCCGTACCAAACCTGCAAGTATCGCAAAGTCTGCATTGAAACAAAAGCACATGTACGCAAAGCAAATTTCTGATAAATAAAAACTTTGGGCAGAACCAACTATGCTGCTGCCGCGGCAGGTCACGTGTCAATTTTCCAGCGGGTAAACAATTGGAATATGGTAGAAAGTTGGGCGAGTTGTTGGTACATGTTTGAAGAAAAAGTAAAACAGCGCCAAAAAAAACGGAAGACAAGGAGACAAAGTGTCGCTCTTGTTTGTACACTTCGCCTTCTTGTCCTCCATTTTTTTTGGCACTGTTACTTTTTCTTCAAACAGGTAAACAATTAATGTTGAGGTCACGTGATATCAATTTTTCCGGCAGGAAAGCTGAATTTGTGTATAGATCACGTGACACTGAGTCGTCATTTTGACATCATTTTCCCCGCTAAATTTATCGGGGAAAATAAAAGGCCAGAAACATACCTCAAAGTGGCCTAAGGATCCTAAGAAAGCTAACCACTTTAAAAACAAAGCTTTACCTTGTTTCTAAGGAAAAAGTTGCTTCAGGATTATAAACAGCGCAAGAGACGAAGGACCAGACAAAGAATTAACATGGACGCAGCACTGCGTCCATGTTACTTCTTCGTCTGGTCCTTCGTCTTTTGCACTGTTTTTAAAACCGAAGTATGGACTAACTCACCCAAGCCTCAACTTTAGAATAAAGTTGGTATACACAAAGTATGTTCTTAAAGGGAAGCTACGGAGGTTCTTGAAAAAAAAAGGGGAGTGAATTCTAGTGTATTTTCATTCTGTGAACCCGAATACCCAAACCATTTGCTGAGCAAGTATTGTTAAACGCGAGAAAACGCGAAAGACAGTCGCTGTACGTGACGTCATCGACGGATCTTTTGGCTGCCCAAGGCTAGGGAGGCGGGGCTTCAGCCCTATCTTCAAATTGCTCTTATGGCTCTCCGGCGCATCGCATTGAAACGCACATTGTGATATCTGTTATTCTAAAGGCCAAATGAATGCAATTTAAGTGTTTTCTCTCAAATGCAGAAGTGCCCCATCTTCCCTTTAAACCTTTATTCATAAGATGAAGGTAAATTGAGCACATATATCCATAATTATGCATATTTGGTTCTTTACGTGACATAAAATCACCCAATGTACTCGTAAAGGCCCGTTCATACTCTTGCAACCGAGTACGACCGAGAGAGATGAGATCTGCTAAAACTTCTCAAAATTTCTTAGGACGAGGGAACACACTGGCATTCTGGCGCCATCTATGCAGTGACCCTGGAACTGCATTTTACAAGAGCGAGGGTTTTGCGAGATTTCCGAGGTCAAATGCGTGTAATACTTACAAGAAAGGCTCGTCTATGATGTTGACTAAAGTTTTTCGAGCCAAGAAAGAATGGATAATGCGCGAGAGAAATAGAAAATATGCTGGACCACCAAGATTGCACTGCTACCCAATAGATGGCGCCAGTGCATCCTCTCGTTGTAAGAGGTTTTAAGGAACCCAGTTTTAAGAAGTCGCAAGAGTGTGAACGGGCCTTAATACTGGGTGTTTCAACGAAGAATAACAAATTCCGAAAAGTAGGATGGTTGAGAAAAAACAACTTTTTTCAGGAACAAACTGCAAACCATGATGGACATCGGGGATTTCAAACTAATAATCTAAAATTTATTAATTACTTTTTTCATTAGTGCAGTTGGTGGCCAGTACCATGGGCAAGTTTGTGGCTGCGGACAAAATGATCTCTCATCCGTGTACTGGCTACCAAGTGGTACTAATTAAAGTTAGTAAATTTGTTAACTAGCAGATTAGTATGTTTCTTTAATTCCTACAGTCTGCTGTGGCTGGTAGTTTGTTCCTGGAAATAGCTTCTTTTTTCTTATCTCAACCAGCTTATTTTAAATAATATTTTAGACTGGTGGACCATCCCGCATATATGGTCGTGCAGTTGCCGATACGCCGCCCCACTCTCTGTTCATTCTTTGTTGATCCACGGGGTGCTGTGCCTGCAGCTGCGTAAAGAGGAGGCAAATCTGAGCACCTGTTTGAGCCCCACCAGCTCTCCAATGTCCAAGATGTAGCAGCCTCCGAGAATGAGCGCCCAGCAGACGTAGTGCAATGCTGTGAAGCCCCATGACAGCAACAAACTGTCGGTAATGTTCCAGCTCCACAGCGCAGACTCGTTGGCGGCGGGAACCCAGAAGTACATCAAAACCTGCACCGGAACAGACTGTTAAAGGCCGACCCCCAAAGATGCCTTTTGGCCAGCGGAACTCTTTTGTGCTTTCTTTTTGTCTTTTCGCAGGTACCGGAGCGCCTACGAACTGGGGATGCGGGGGCCGATTCCTTCTCTTCAGGACATGCCACTAGACAGATGCACGAATCAACAATAAAGTCTGGTTCTCAGATTTCAGTACGAGTATGATTGACTGCATTGCAACCACTTGTAATCGCTTATGACGGGAGAACACACTGCTAGTGTTGCGCGAATATTCAAATTTTCGTATAGTTGTTTCGAATGGTACGCTGTTCGATATTCGCTTCTGGCGTAAGATACCGAGCGTCTGCCCATTCTACTACCCTCGATTTTGTAACATTTGGAACATAAACGAAGGACATATCTTTAGATATTGTTGACTTAAGAAGCGCCCTTCCTGCAGTTTTACACAATTATCTCCAAATTTGGAGTGGGCGCTTGCTCGGGATTTTATGGTAAGTGAACTGCGACGTTTATACTTTCCGAAGCGTTGATCGCAGCGCGTTGGCCCTGTTGAGTGCGCTTCTCAATGGGCATCTGTGTGCTGCGGGGAAGTGATATTTGCAGAGCTCGGTAAGAAGTGCACAGAACGGGACTATCCCACCGGTATTATGCGAAAGTATGTCAGGCAGTGATGTCTTGACATCCCACGTATCCATAATTCGTGCTTGTTTTTTTGTTTTCTATTCGTGGCAAATTTGAAATAGGATATTTGCACATTCAAATTCAAATTCATTTATTTCCCATTTCGAAATGACATTTTGGCAGTGGAAGCGGCAAAGGGAAAATCAAGGTGTTGTGTACTCATATACACGGAAATAGACTACCGTAATATCCCGAGTCATCGCCCATCCCCGAGCCATCGCCCACCCCATTTTTTGGGCCAATATCGATTTCCGAAAAAACACCGAGTCATCGCCCACCCCTTCAAATGCCCCAGCGCGGACTCTGCGATCCGCGAACACTCATCCTACCCGAATGACGCGGCCGCGAACCTTACAGTTGGAGGACGTCCGTGACAAAGTAAAACGAAGGAGGGAAAGACACTTCTTTTCGTTTACGCATTTCCTCCGTGAGCGACCCTAAAGTGGTCGTGTATCCGTGCGAAAAGAAAACGATGGAGATAACAAAATAAGAGTTTGTTAAACCGCGGAGTGTTAAGTCAAAGTCTGTCTCCGCCGAAGTAAGGACACCGCGAACCCGCTCCTTCTTCCCGCCCGTCGCGACCGCGGTTGTGCAATATTTTAGGCAAAGCCATCACGTAAATAAAGCTTTGCTGGAACGCCCTACACAGACGTTTGCAGAGCGTCCCAACCGTGCATTGATAGCCCGCCGTGCACGGACGCACGTATGTACCACCAAACAAGAAAGTTGCGCAAGAGCTTGCGATTGACAAGGCGCCCGACTTGGCCCGACGCCAAAGTATTTGCCAACGCGACCGCCGGCTTTCCCTCTTTCCCAGGATTGCTCTTGGTCGCTTCTTTAGTCCGCTCGCTCGCTCGCTCGTTGCGCCTGGTCGGTTTTTCTATTTTCTTGTAGACTTTTCTTTCTTTTTTTTTTACTAACCAGGAGAACATAGTGGTGACATTCTTTCATGGATGAAGAAATAATAAACAATTAAAACAGGGACAACACAACCACATCTTTCAACTAGCAACAGACGAGTAAACGTTCAACAGCGAGCAGCCGACTTTACCCAGTAGGAGTAGGGGAGAGAAGTGGAGAGAAAGAAAGATAAAACACGCGAAGTGCAAGTCAGGGTGGTAGGGTTATCTCAGATTTTAAAAATTCAACCTCAGTTTTCGTCAGCAGGAGGGAAGGGTTTGACACGTCATTTTTTGCTGTGGTCATGGCGAATGATTCTATCTATTCTATTGATGACACAAAAATCCTTGGGGGGCATGACAGTAGATTCGGCAGGGAAATCATAGAATCATTCGCCATGACCACAGCAAAAAATAACGTGTCAAACCCTTCCCTCCTGCTGACGAAAACTGAGGTTGAATTTTTAAAATCTGAGATAACCCTACCACCCTGACTTGCACTTCGCGTGTTTTATCTTTCTTTCTCTCCACTTCTCTCCCCTACTCCTACTGGGTATAGTCGGCTGCTCGCTGTTGAAAGTTTACTCGTCTGTTGCTAGTTGAAAGATGTGGTTGTGTTGTCCCTGTTTTAATTGTTTATTCTTTCTTCATCCATGACTTAAACCAACACGCTCTTCTACCAAGCAGACATTCTTTCACGGAACAAACGTTCGCGCTATAAGCAGATCGGCGGTGTTTCTAGCGCGTATGCAAGCAACGGACTTCGCTATAGTAAAATATTCTTTCGTGAGCATTTTTTTCTATAAAACAATGAAACTAAATCGAGTTTTGAGTTTGATGTATCTCTTGTGCATCAGCGCTAGATACGCAGAGAAAAATAGGCGGTTTTTTCCGCTTTTTTTCAAGTGTTTGTGCTCACCCACCGAGACATGGCCCACCCCACTTTTTTAATGAATTTCAGGCGGTAGGGGGGTGGGCGATGACTCGGGATATTACATATACACAAAGTGTGCCATAAACTGAAAATATCAACAGCAAAAAAAAAAAAAGATATATACATATACATATTAATTGATTTGAAACTTGGCAACGATAATAAATAAATGGAGCGAAAATTTTACAGCAACATTGTATACCAGAACAAACATAGCTGGGATGCCATGATGAAGCACATTTTATATGTTAAAAAGAAGGTGTATATGAACTACAAAAGGTTACATATAAAATAATTGTGAAGTAGTGAAGTACATAATTTGTATTCAACAACCAGGGTGTTAAGTAACGAAGGATTTTGTTTGAAATAAGTAAGATTTGTTTTAGAAAAGTTCATCTTTCTACAGTTGCGTCGGCATTGGTTTTTTTAACTGCCTATGTTTGTGTGTGCATTTTTTGGGGCACAGTCCCGCGGCAGGAGGTACGTTCGCGGGAGTGCATGAACGGGGTGTCGTCTTCCGCCCCTCTGCGCAGGGGGCTTCGAGCAGCAGTCGGACTCCGGTCGTTAACAAACGGATTGGGTTTCAGTTTGGGGCGCCGGAACACCCGTGTCTCGGGCAGAGGTGCTTCTGTCCGCACTTGTGGCTTTTAAGTGGGTGTGCTTGTGTCCGGGGTATTTCGCCGTGTAGTGTAGAAACTTCGCTTTTAATCGACGCAATAACTTAACTGGGTGGTGCCAGCCAGGCGGCGAGGAAAGCATGCAGTGACTCTACAAAAAATTTGGTTTTGACCGTTGAGGTGTCGGAGGGGGTTCACGTTGACAGCTCGCTGATCATTGGGTAAGAGTGTACCACGTGACAATAGGCAAATTAGAAGTAATTGGTCTGTCTCTGGAGGGAAAGCAGGCCCCTATGAGTCTAGAAAAGGGGTGCCGAGAGGAATCTCGGGGGATTCGGCTCTTGAGACTGGGGACTAAAGTATGGGTTTTAATTTTGGAAGTTTTGTATATTACCAAATAAACGTGGCCACACTGGCCATTGTAAACCAACCAATGTCGTAATGTGTCCAGTGGGACCGAACAACTTTTAGTTGGTTTTTTTTCTTATCCGACTTCCCGGGGGACTTCCATCAGGCGAACATCATCATCGGTCATCACCATCCTGACCGGCCCCCTCCCTCGGAAAGTTGACTCAGGGACTCAAACCGAAAAATATAATGTTTTAATTACGATTACGGTTACCGTTTCCTGCTGATATCGGTTTCATTTAGTTCTTTTACGGCTTTGGTTACCAATTACGTTCCTAAAAAACTTTTTTTTTTTTTTTGTTTCTCCAATAATTTGTTTTCTTGAAATGCTAGATAGCCATTTTATAATAAACGGTTTAAAGTAGTCCCAGATATCCAACAAGGGGACATTAACAATAACAAGAACCCAAAAACGTCTTAGTACTCCTAATTGGTCAAAAGTTGCACGTGTTTTTAGCTTCAACAATTGTTCACTACATCTGTTTGCATCATATAGCTTGATACCCAACCATACATGTTACCCCCGCTACTCGGGGATCATCGCACAACTACTTTGTTCTTTGGCAGCGTTTGTAAACAACCCTTAGAAAGTTCCCACTGGGTGCTGGAAGAACCATGTACACCTTCTCGTCGCTATAGTTTGTTGCAACCCAAGATACGCAGAAGAGGCCTTGTCCACAGTGAAGGAGCAGAACTATAGCCCTCCTCTAGTTAAATGCCGGTAAGTGGAATAAAGTAATAGAATTGAAAGCTGGGCTAGCTGGTGAATGACAATCAATGTAAATGCAATAGTGCAAAACAAGGAAGACAAGGAGAGAAACAAACAACACAGAAAGCTGTAAAAACATGTCTTCTGTCGTTCGTTCGCCTTTCCCTAGTCTTCGTTGTTGTGCGCTGTTACACCAACGTCATGTTTGTTATTTCCAAGCAAATGCGTGTTTGCTGTCCGATTCTGCGATGCTAGCAAAATTGTGCATTTATAATATACAAAAAGAAAACAGTTGCGGCCGCAAAAAATGAAAATAAAGTGCGGATGCAAAAAGATCTATCTGCCAGCGACTTTATAAAAAACGTCAATTTAAAACCTCCAACTTTTTTTTTTTTTTTTTCTGCATTGTTCCAAAATTGCCACAGGCAACACATTTCAGACGAAATCAATACCAGGTTTTGTACCCAGCTCTGCATGGTGGTCAATTTACCTTGTTTATTCATACTGGCTATTGCAGGTCTGGAACATCAGTGGTTTTGATAGATCCGAGTTGGAGAGGTCACAAAATCTAGAACTAGCATTTTTAAATATTTTTTTTTATCGCACATCAAAACTTAGCTTATGACTCATTTTCACCCAATTTGCATACTGTGTTAGCTGGGATATCTTCGGGATGTTATGGTAGGTATACAAGCCCACCAAATGCAGATGAGCACAAACAGTTTCACAAAAATAGAGCCGCTCAAGCATACTTGGAGAAGGAAAGACATGTCAAGCTTATTTGACGGCCGAGGCAAGACAACTTGATTGCAAAACAACAGGGAACATTGCCCATTGTGGTTGCCAGGGTCATACAAACAGAGTGGACGGGCGTGCGCATACAATGTAGTGGCACCCTCTGGTGCCGACGTTTCAAACTTGATGTGCTTGATATAAAAATCACTGCCATTTAGGGGGGAGTCCAGCAAAAGCTGAGATGTCGATAATGTGTTAACTATTACTCTAGCCTATACTGGGACACTGAGACTGTGCCCCAGTGCATTTCGTCATTTCCCACTTGCCTTCTATGAAGTGCTATGACTGGCTGGCTCTCTGTGTTCTGAGCGGAGGAAATGAACTACGGGTGTTGTTAACGAAAATATTAGAATTCGTATATCTTGCCAAACTATTATCGTCAGCCAAAATGTGATACTACACTATTTAGCAAAAATGTTGTAGCTAGAATTAAATAACACAACATCATTCAAGTTGTCCACAACACGAGGGTACTAGGCTGTAAAGTCCGCTTTCGTTTTCATTATGAGGTCTAGAAATAATAAACTGGTGTTTAACATAAACCACTGTGCTCTCGACGACTTAATTTTTGTGACTTAAAAAATAAAGCAGAAAATTTATCTCGCAAATATAGAAATCCATGGTAATAAGCACATAGCGGATCACTCTAAGTTGCGGAATTTCGTGTCCGTGAAGTATTTCCAGGACTCATACATTGAAAAACTAGCGAAGTAATGAGCGCGCAAAAATAATGTCCTTTACAGTATATGGTTGTATGCCATTGTGCTGTACGTGACAAAAATAAAAACACACACACAAAAAGAAAAATTACACAGGTAGTTATGCAGATGGCACCTTCTTTCTAACCCCTCTCTCGTTCTTTACCCTTTTCATGAGTTATCATACTCGTTTTAAATTACACAGCAGTAGCAAAAAAAAAAAAAAAGAAACAGATCTCTGTCAAATGTTTACTTTTAAAAACCAAGAAACATTAGGCTCCTCAGAGAACATTATACAATGGTTGGTGATAGGTTCATGGGAAGCCCCTACCACTTCTTTCCCTCTTACCGAGCGAACGCTGGAGGGGAGGCGATCACCTTCTCCGGCACTTGCTCTGCTAAAGTGGAAGGGGGTGGGAGGAGCTTCCCCTGAACTCTTAGCCTGTCACAGACGATAGTTATCTCCTCCATCTGGTGAATTAGACAATTGTACGCAGATTTGAGATCAGTTAAAGCTCTCACATCTATGCTCGAGTGTGATCGACTGCGTCGCAACTGCTTACGACCAGAAAACGCACTATAGTCACTGCCAGAATGAGAACGGCAGGGCACGTCTTTCGAACGCCTGACCTCCAGGACGTGCTTCGTGCCTTTTTCCTTGCTTTGGCTGCGCGCACGTGCTTGAGGTATGCGAGCTGGAGCACGCGACGGGCATTGGTCTCGAGTGCGTTCGGCGCAACAAGGCGGGGCTTGGTGACTTAATAAAAATGTAACTTGAACTATATTTAGGTCAAACCCTTATATGTCTCATCATTCAGTCGACCTTCAAAGTCCTTGAGCGAAAACCTGTCACGAAAGTATGAAAACACGTTGGTGGCACAAAAGGTACCGAAACCCACGGTTCGCCACTGGACCACAAGATGGCGTTACTTGTGCCAGAATCGGCGGAGGCATGCGCGCGGCGCAAACCCTGCGAGAAAGGAGGACACTCTCACTCGGGCAGCGGCGAAGAGCGGGCGTGCGACATGCTGCGAGATTATTGGCGCCAAAAGTGTGCCATCAGAGACCACGCTGTCTTCGGAGGTTTGCTATCACTGGGATTGGCGCTTGGGCTTCCGCCTTCAAGTAGTCTTAGGGATAACATAAGAGACCCTGTGAATTTTTAAGTGGCAATGAAATAAAAAGTGAAAGCCGTTTACAACTCCCTGTAACGCCGAATTAGAGCGCAGCTCTTGAGGAGGAGGAGGGAAGGGTACTGGGGGGTCAAGTGACCTTGGGCGGGGGTCACGTGACCTAGGGGGTCACGTGACGATGCCGATGACGTCATCAGTAACGATGACGATGCGGATACCGATGACGTCATCAGTGACGTCACTGATGACGTCATCAGTGGTGATGACAATGACGATGCCGGTGACGTCATCAGTGATAATGACGATGACGATGCGGATGCCGGTGACGTCATCAGTGACGTCACTGATGACGTCATCAGCGATGATGACGATGACGATGCGGATGGTGATGATGACGATGCGGATGCCGGTGACGTCATCAGTGACGTCACTGATGACGTCATCAGTGATGATGACAATGACGATGCGGATGCCCGTGACGTCATCAGTGATGATGACGATGCGGATGCCGGTGACGTCATCAGTGACGTCACTGATGACGTCATCGGGGGTCACGTGACTTGGGGAGCCACGTGACCTTGGGGGTCACGTGACCCTGGGGGAGGGGTCACGTGACCTTGAGTGTCACGTGACCCTTGGGGAGGGGTCACGTGACCTTGGGGGTCAAGTGACCTTGGGATGACCTTGGTTACGCCGACAACGACGCCGCTCAAGCCGGGAACGGGCCCCTAAGAGCTGCGCTCTAAAAGAGCTCGTACACCAGAGGCATCGCACAGTGAAACGTGCTGAAGAAAACAGACAAACTGTGGCCCTCCTCTTGGCCAGACTTGACTTCAGCAAAACAAGAACTGGTCATGAAGATAGGTGGCGCTACTAAGGCAGCCCGCAGCAAAAAGCTCACTAATTTCTTGAAGTGTCAACAAAGAATAGTTGTGACACAGTGTTGCACCTTGTCAATTCAAACCATTCGCACATACTTGTACCTGGCTGCGGAGGAGTTCAAAATTTAGACGTTGAATGTGCGCAAACTTGATGAGACAGAAGGAGGAGAAGCCATAGAGGAGAGGAGCTTACCACGAGAGAAATGCAACTGGTGAACACATAGATGGACCGGCTCAGGACTCCAAAGCACCTTTCGAGTCGTCCAGATCTGCATAGGAGACTGTGCTGCACGACAAACTGTGCAATGAGGCCAACGTCCCAGAGCAAACCTGCATCGCCAAAGAAAAAAAAAAAAAAGGTTGGCCCACACCCCTGGTTATATTTCATTCATCCCTAAGCTAACAGTGAGGTGGAACCCGGGTGCTCTTTGGTCCAGTCGTACGTCTATCTTTTGTCACGTGATCACTCTCCCACCTTACCAACGAGCAGAGATCTTGGTCGGGTGACGAAAGGGAGACAGTTGATTAATCTGGTGAACACATAGCTAAGGTAGCACCCACCATGCTGTCAGCTTGGGCATGGACCGATTATAATGAGCACACATCCCTCTATGTACCATGTGAGCCAAAATAGATAGAGCCCCGTAAAATCAACAAAACCCAAATTAGCAGTCTAGGATGCTGTAATTTACTGCGAGAGTGCTTCTTTGCCGTGTGCATGTTTTCCAAAACTATCGAAGGAAAGCATTTCTAAATCAAAAGAGGAAGATGAAAATAAAAACATGCTTTCGGATGGGTCGGGAGTCCAGTCTTTTTCGATAAAAGTTTAAAATATACGAGTACTGTCGGCCCTAGGGCATTTGATTGGAGAAAATGTTGATGTGGGCCTTGATGGCCCACAGCAACATCTTCTTTCACTAGGCATTAATAAAATACCTCCAGACGAACAGCTAAACCGGCACCGTCTACCAAGTGAGGTCCCTTTCACCTCTTTCCACCTTGCTTTCGACTTTTCCCATGTGAGCAGTCCTGCACAAGTGCCGATTGTCGGGCGAGTTGGTATTGTACGTGAGAAAACATGATTGCGCTTTAGGACAAGGACATAGGAAGAACAGACACCACAGAGCGCTAACACTCTGTGGTGTCTTTTCTTCCTATGTCCTTGTCTTAAGGCTGCGGTACCACGGCGGCCATCTTGAACAAAACATTAGTTGAACCACCAGGGCGGCGTTGGCTGTCCGTATGAGCAAATGCTGCAAAACCTGCGCGCCAATTTCGAAACCCTTTTTCCCGTCGCTTGCGACCTTGAGTTTCCTTCTCCACTCTTACGCCCCTCCTTTCACGTGTTCACCCTCTGGCGCGTCGCGCCAGTCGCGCCCACGTTCATTGTTGGGAGGACAATGTACCGGATAATCCCCAACTTGAGGCCCCCTGCCAAAATTGTCCGGCTGCCAAGTGATTTGAGCGAGATGTGGTTTTGAAGCGGTATGGAAAAGTGGGACCGTCAATTTTGAACTATGCCTTTTCGATACTGAATAAGTTGTGTACGGGGCTGGCCAAGGCACGGGTGCGAGGACGTAACTGTATACAATGCTTGGGTTGCAGGAGCACTCGCGCGTAGAAATGGTAGGACGCGCTTTCTGAAATCACACGCCTACATTCCGCAGCGTTGCAATCCTACGAGTAAAACAGAGTACATCTTTGGACAGTGCGTGAGTTGATGCCGGCCGTACGAAAGACACACCTCGCGCTTCCTGTCACTACTGCCTCTGCTTGCACGCGCTGCCGATTGGCGGTCCTTTCTTTATTTTGTTTCGTCGCTCTTTTGAAAATACTGAAACTAATATTTTTTCAGACCCTGCTCATCGTACCTCTGCACTACAGTTGTGTAAACACATTGTGATGTAATTTGAGATATGGGACGGAGTGTCTACATTCTTATTTCGTGTGTAATGCCGGCATAATATTCCTTTGCTGCCAGAGGGTCAAAATAATGGTAGGGTTGGCAGCAAGAACTATTTCAATGACCGAATTATGATCAAACACCAGTAAGAACATAAAAAAGAAATCACATGGGGACAACAAAAATATTGCTACAAGAGGATGGTGCGCGGGGCACAAACAATATTCGGAGTGACGTTGAGGGAACGCGACAAGCCAGATCTTTCCTGATGGCAGCCGTAAAAGTTGATTGGTGCCTCGTTTTGATCGGCTTTGCACGGAAACTCGTCGACTACCGACTATCTTGTCAGTGGTGAACATAGTGAGCATGAACTGGATGATTTTTTTGTTGTTTTTGTTTCTGTAGTTAAATGAGAGTGTGGAAATATGAGACATCCGCTGACGCTTGCGTCGGCTAACGGAACCTCAATCGCCGATCGCGGCCGATGTCATGGGCGTATACAAATACATCAAGTCGTCTGGGCGGGAGCAGTTGAAGCGCCGCACTTTTTTGGCCGGTCAGTAGAGACTCCGCGAATTCTGACTCGAGGCTACTCTGTGCGGAGGGAGCCGCTACTGAGCGCGACCAATCGGAAACTAAGGATGGCTGAAATTTCCTAATTGCCATGAGATTTGAAAATTCGTTCTTGCCGTCGTAGCAAATTCGTCCGAATCGCTATTCGATTTACTAATCGATTATGTGGATGAAAAGGTATATTTCAAAATTCGTACGTGGCTCACCAAATGGCAATAAACTTGGTATAGGATTTCAAACCTATATAGTGTCGCCCTAATTTACAAACTCGTTTCACTTGAAATTAGAGTTCACGCGCAAGCGAGCTGGTGGAAGCCTATACTAAAAAGGCCAGAAACAAGAGAAACAAAAAATAAATAAATAAGAGCGGGATAAGCGCAACACAGTCTCAAAGCGGTAACCGTTCTTCATTAGGTGATGAAGAGTGGTCCCCGCTCGAAACGTCGTAGTAAACTTCGAATTAGTAACTCTGACAGTACGCATTTTTGCCTTTGTATATATATATAGAGAGAGAGAGAGAGAAAGAGAGATAGGTAGATAGATATTTTTCACTATTTGCTGACGGCCGAAACTAACTATGCAACACAATTTTCGCTAAAGGCTACCGTTATTTACAAAATATGACGAGCGTAGTTATTATATCTGCAATAATTTGATAGCAGAAACATAATTCGATCAAGCTACTTGATGAGTTGGCGTTCAATGAAGCGGTGCTCGATGAAATGTCCACTATTCGATGAAACGCCAATCAATAAAACAGAGCTTCATCGGACGAAGATGCCTAGCTGTTGTGATCCGCAATATTTCGCGCAAAAACGAAAGACACCAGAATAAACAACAAGTAAAACCACAGAGCTGCCCCGCCTCATATCACCCTCAGTTGGAGCTCGACTGACACATTGCGCCGATCAAGCATCACCAACAGCTCAACACCTAAACGCCACGGCGTTCACTATCTTTGTTTGGGTGATTCCACCCACTAATATAACAACTCATACAATGCGCCGTGATAAAGTGCTTTTTGTCTTTGTGTATGTGTTTTCGTGACATCTAACCTCTGTTTGCGCTCTGACTAAGAATGAAACCATGTATACTAAAACGGTTCCCGGACATTTCATCGAACGCCGTTTCGTCGAACGCCGTTTCATCGAAAAAATGGACGTTTCATCGAACGCCGTTTCATCGAACGCCGTTTCATCGAATCGCTGACGGCCGTTTCATCGAATGTCTTTTAAATAAAAAGCGTGAAAGATGCTCTTTTATGCATGGATCGAGTGCATTTTCGTGTCATTCCCCCATTTCATCGTCAGGTTTTTTAATGTCCAAACTTGTAGCTGTTACAATTTATTTTGATGCAAGTAACCCATGAGGATATTTGTACCGATCTTTATGTTTGTTTCGCACATTCTGCTTATCTGTTCAGCCCCTCTGTATTACCCGATGGGCCTTGAGGGTATTTTAACAAATAAATAAAAAGTCGCACTCCCGGTAAGAGCGCTCTCCAACTCATGGAGGCCAGAAGGCGACTTAGGTTTGGCGCAGGCGCAACAACTTTAGCCATGTGAGCCTCCTAGCCTCTCATGTCTTTCTATTGATACGTTTTTACCGCCCGAAGCTTGCAGTAGCTAAAGCTGAGGTGCTATTTAAGAAACTACAACGAAACATTTTTTTTAAGACTCAATGAAGTCAAAAGTAAGTACGTCACTTCAAATTTTATTTGAAAACTTTCGGGGGTTCATGTGTTCGTGCGACAGCCATTCACCGTTTCAAATGATGAGCAAGTTCCCCACAGCCATGGTCCGTCGGTTCTCATAAAAAAGGCGGACCTTCTCATTTCTTGCCGCTACGGTCATCTTCTGTCGAAGAGGCTCTTGGGAACTCAGCATCGCCTCCAGCTTGTCTTCCGTCAGTTGATGATCTGTGGCGATGCAAGTCAAAAACTTCCAGAACCCGGGATGGGCACCTCCGACCAGCTTCAGGAAGCGGGAATGCCACCCTGGCGTTCGATAAGACGGCGTTCGATAAAACGGCGTTCGATGAAACAGCTTCGATGAAACGGTGTTCGATGAAACGGCGTTCGATGAAACGGCGTTCGATGAAACGGCATTCGATGAAACGGCTGCGATGAAACGGCGTTCGACGAAACGGCGTTCAATGGAATGTTCGGTCCCATACTAAAACATCGATAGTGGTCTCTATTTTTAGCAACGCTCGCACACGTCTTGTCTTTGACGCAGTGGCATTCTCATCTCCCATACACGGACATTTGGACAAAATAGGTTGGTCGGCCTTCACTCATTAGATGCGGAACGTTTTGACCGTGACGTATCTATAACTCAAAGAAGCACCGACAGACGGGTGCCCCTTTGAAAACAAATCATGCTCGCGTAGAGATATTTAGCGGCTATAGTATAGTCCGTGGGTATTTATTTCTAGGCCAACTCGTCGGCGTCAGTCAGTACAGGCGCTGGAGGCGTGATGAAAATGCTGGCAGATGTCGGCTTGACGAGCCCCACACTCTCCCCTCACAGCAGATGGCAAATAAACCAACAACAATATTTGTCGACGGGCCATTGATTGAAGAGGCCAATCGGTAGTAGGATGACTCGACAAAGGGTAATTCATCAAAAATTCCAACTCGTTGACAATTGTCTGTGAGGCCATTCAGTTTCCAGATTGCACTCATCTTTTGTATTAGAACACATGCACATGTTAGACATTTTAATATAAGCAAGTTTCGGGCACCGGATATTTTTTTGAAAAGCTGTTTCACCGAATTTCGCATCTCCCGGTTCGTCGAATTTTGATATGAAATCATAATATAATTATTATACTTGTCACTTCTTCAATTAGA